CGACTGACGATCATAATTTCATTTCGGTTCGGCAAAGTACCTATTACCATAATTAGAGCTGGGAATTTAATATCCTATAAAACCTTAAAAAATCTTTTTACTGCCGAAAAACTCTAAATAATGCACTAATAAACGCACTGAAAATGTGTTTTATTTTTAATAATTTTGATAAATAATTGAAAAAAAAAAAATAATTTAAATTATATAAATGCATTTTAAATTTGATAAGTTGAACTGGGACTTTTTTTAATCTGGAAAGAAATCATTTGCTCCATTTGCTCTTAGAAATATTTAAACAGGAAATCTAGAGATTTTAAAAATACCATGTTAAAGTTTTGCTTAAGAAGTCATTTGTTTAACCCTCGTTATCTAGGTTTCGGCATGACTGTTGTCCGATAATAATATATTATAATATTCCGAGTACCTACTACTAGTCCTACAAAACAGTATGTTTTTTATTACATTATTTGTATTTGCATGCAAATCTTAAAATTAAATTTTCGATCTAAAAACTCCAAAAATGCCCCCTAAAAAACCCGAAACGCACTTGAAAACTACCCAGAAACCGAAAATGTTCAAAAAAAAAAAAAATGCAAAAAAGGCGCAACAGAAACTCTCGTATGCTCGTCCAGAAGACGTGAAAGAAATGGATTTGCGACAATACGAGCACGCGAGCACGTCAGAAAAATGCAAAACATAGCGTACGTTCAATTGAAATCCCAGCCCCAAATAATAATATACCGGCACGAGTATTTTACCGCAGCGTTGTTGTTCGCGCGAGTCTAATACATATACAAGAATTGTTCGTATTACGGCGTTATCGTTAATGTTTATGTATTATTCATTTTCATTATCGTTACCGTCGACTGTGACGTTTTCATCGCGTCCGGCAGATAACGTAACGTTCGACGATGTCATTTAACACGCCCGGTGGATACCCCGGCCGGCGGCAGTGCGGACCACGGCTACCACTGCTACCACCGGTTCATCTCACGGGGACAACTCCAATACCACACGCGCGGCCAACGGAAATACGAAACGACCGCGAAACTCGCACGACCGGCCCCGAGAAACGTCTGGACGCGTTCGGTCGCGTGCGCGTCGGTACCGCTACTAACCCGAGTCTATTGCGGCGAGCGCGACAACGACGACGACGCCGTCTACGCGGCAAAACACACACGCGCAAGCACGCCGCGCCGCCGAAAAACAGAAAAATCGATTCCCCGGTACCCCCGCGGTCGTTCGGCACGTTATTCACATAAAATATATAGTTGCATAACAATAATAGTATAACTTCTGGGGGGGGGGTCACGGATCCGATCGAATTTCCCCTTAACTTTGTTATGTGTATGTGTATGTGTGTGTGTGTGGATACGTTGCGATATTATTCTTAATTCGGGGCTACGGGCCAAATTTTACATTGAGACGCGGAAACGAAAACAAACCAACCGCTATAACCTAGCCGAAACGATCGAATACCTGACATTTTCTAATACAATATGGAAATTTAAAACGCAATTAAGTTATTTTTTTCTCCTCCGCCTTTATTCCGTATTATCATTTGATTAAAAAAAAAAAAAAAAATATAGCGTAAATTTGTCCGTAGTTTTACCATTGTATCCGCGATTATTTACCGCGTGAAATTCTACCTCCCCAGGTAAATTTCACTAGAGAATATTTATCTCCCGGTAAAATTTTCAGGGATAAAATCTCACTTATTATTTTAGATTCTGAGTGGAGCGAAGAAGCTTATGGTTATACAAAGATGTTTGTTTTTTTTTCTGTGGACAATTTTAGTACCAGAGATCTTGCTCTGATTTCTATGTGTAGCACCTTTTCTAAAAGAGAATCGGTGTAAGAAGGTACATTAAGGAGGTCATTTTTCGATTTTCTGAAATTTTCTCATCAAATGTGAAAAACCGAAAAAAAAACAAAGGAAAAACGGGAAAATTTACGAAATATATAAGTAAAATTTCATGATTTTTTTTCCTGTGGACAACTTTTCTACTAGAAATTTTGTTCAAACTTATGATAGTAATTTTTCTGAAAAGAAATTTCACTGGGGAGATACTTTAGAGTGGTAATTTTTCAATTGTGTTTTTGAGAGTTAAACGCCGGTTAAAAAATCCTAGAAGTAGATATAAAGTTGCTAAAATGGAAATTTATAAGTTTTAAACCCATACTTTAATAAAAGATATTTACTAAAGAGTGCAACACAATTGCACCCGTTTTATCTTTTTACCTGTAAAATATTCCAAAAAATATTGTAAAAAAAAATTTTTCTTTTAGAAAAATTGTTATCATTGTAAGTTAGAGCAAAATTACTGGTAGAAACGTTGTCCACAGGAAAAAAAATCGTAATAATATACTAATATAAACTCTTGAGAAAATCGGAAAATGACCTCCATAAAGTACCTCCCCACACCTATTTCCTTTCAGAAAAGGTGCTACACATACAAATCGGATCAAGATCTCTGGTAGAAAAGTTGTCCACAGAACAAAAAAATAAAAAATAAAAATAAACATCTTTGTAGATCGCTTCACTCAGAATCTAAAATAAGAAAAGCATTATTTTCGTAAATTTCCCGTTTTCCTTACGCTTTATCCTGGGTTTTTTTCCAGATATTATGAAAACCGCTTAGAAAATTAAAAAATGACCTCTCAAAAGTACTATCTGGACAACATTCCCTTTCAGAAATGGTACCGCACATAAATATCGGAGAAAGATTTCTGGTACAATTTTCGTAACGGAATAAAAAAAAAAAAAGGAAAAAAAACATTTATAAAACCAATACATTCTACGCTACACTCAGAATCTAAAAAAGAGTTGATACTGAGACGGGTGTGACCACTGTTGTAAGTGGGTAATGGAGAAGGTGGGATACATTAAACTATTTAATTTATACCAGTAACCAACGGTAAACTATATTGCTAACGAAAAACGATTCGGAGCGAAGTTCGGTCAAAAATATTTTGAAAGGTCGAAAATATAAAAATCAAAATTTGATTTTGACTCTTATAAAAAATAAAATAAAAAAAATATGTCTTAAGATAATGGTAACTGTTATAGGTAACCTAATCTATATACCTGTAAGCAACGATAAGCCAATGCTTACGGAAAACGATTCTGAGTTCAGTCGATAGTGATGCTTTGACAACAATATATATATATATATATACATATATACGCCATATTATAGTGAAATAAATTAAATGGGCTCTTTTTCTTCGACACTATTCGTTTGACGTTGTACCGATTTCCACGCGTTTTTTCGGAAACAATATCGATACCGTCGTCATTTTTAGATTGGAGCGATATTTGTTGGTGGAAAACACCGCGGTGCTGACCGCGGGTAAAAACGACGAAAACGCCGCCGCGCCGTAAACGCGTTCGCCGTAATCGGCGTACGAGCGCGTCGCGGGCCGGCGCGATTCCGACTGCAATCGAAACGCCGCGCGGCCGATGCCGCCGTGCACGGCAACACGATTGTTAACGCGGTCGCAATACCGTCTCGCACTCGCCAACAGCAACCGGACGGGGTATGCGCCGCGCGCCCTTCCGTTACGATAAACCGCAATTCGCGCGCATGTGGGTGCACGCGTAGAGGAAATCCTCAAGTCCAAATCCTCGAGGAAAGGCATCGCCACCGCGCGCTAACCACACGCCCGGGGATTACTCGGGGATTTTCCGTGTAACTACTACCTACGGAATTCTGTCTGTACTTCGGCGCGTACGCGTACTGTAATTTTTCGTGGCCGCATCATTGAGTATTCCCGTTTAAACAATACTATAGTTTATCCGCGTATCGTACACGTATAATCATAAATAAAAACGGACGGGTCAGATGACGACATTATGGCGGCTATTGGTTGCATGACGGCAGTGGATTGTTTAAAATCTCACGCGAAGAAACGCAAGAGAAAAATGATGGGCGAAGGATTGGTTAGTAAAAAGGGCAAAATATTCACACGCGAACCTGCTAACTGGACTCAGGATTTGCCCTAAAGACTGGCAAAACTATTAAAGAATGGACGAGGGCACATATTTGAAATTACTAGCATCGGTCACACCTTTTATAAAAAAAAAAAAAAAAAAAATGATAGATCAAAGTTAAGTTGTCCGTTTCCGTTTGAAACAAAACAACGTTTGTAAGTTTTTCAGCGATTAGCATTTGGTTTTTTGGTAGGTCCCGTGATTTCATGGCAACGGTCTTACCAATGAAATCGAAACGATCCTCTGTAATACGAGATTTTTTAAAATGTTCCTTGACAAGTTTGTTGACCAATTTGGCATACGCAGAATCATGTTTGTTCCTGTCATGGTAATCTTTTGATTTGACGCGCCAAAGACAAGGCTCACTTTCATAAAGTTTAATAAATTCTTCAATAAATTCCCGGGTCATTTTCAACGGTAGTTTTGTTTAAAGGTACACGCGCAGAAACAAATACAAAACAAAATGAAAATAATAAGTGATATCGAATGAATCATCAAGGCAGATCCCACAGTGCCTCCACACGTGCGAATTTGAACTGTACAGTCTGGCCCGCGCAGTTTTTCCTAATTGAATTCCGAAAAGGATTTTCGGACTGCGCAGGCCGACATAGGCCTCAAGGCCAATTGTACACACGTGAAGGACGTCGTGGACTGCGCAGTCCAAACCTTGAGGGTTTCCTCTACGTGTGCACCTACCTTATTAATTAATGTCGTCGAGATTCGGTGCGCGGCGATAATCCGGGGGCCGACGTTTTCACGCGATCGCGCGACGTTATTGGCGGTCGGCCGAAAACGCACGACGTGTTCGCATACTTCCGACGCGTTTTCGATTTTTCAGAGCGTGTTCAAAAGAATTTCGCGCGTTTTCGTAAGCGCGTTTAGGATTTTAGTGAACTGCCGACCCGGCAAATCGAGAATCGCAAAATAACGATTTACGAACGTCGCGTTCGGCGGGCGAGCTGATAATTACAGACCGGATTTAATTGATAACGCAACTTTTTTCGCGATAAAGACAAATCACAGAACCGATCGAACGCATAGCCGTTGTACGTACTGAAAATATTCTGCAAGTTCAATTTCATAATGCGACGTTTCGCAATTTCCCCACGGCCGTTTATCGTTCGTATGGAATTTTCTAGAAGCTCGGAGAGCCCGGCGAGCGATAAGCGTCTGTGCAAGTGTACGGTGGTAATTAAATTCAACGTAACAACAGTACAGCGATTCGTGTGCGTTTACCTGTTGGTACCTCGGTACCCGTTTCCACGGCCGAGTTGACCGCACGGTGAACGTGTTCGACGTAATGCCCGAATAAAATCACCTTTGAAAAGTGACATTTCCAATCGGATCGCTCCTGACAATGAAAATAAAAATGTATTTCCATCAGACGGAAAGGTCGTGCGCATTGTCTCGCCCGTAACGAATCTGTGTCTACTGAAAAAAAACTATCTATTCGACCGTCGTTCCGAAACAAGTAAGTTTTGTATTGTATTACGCTCGTACTACACGTAAATATACTACATATTACATATTCAAAAATGCGTGTATATGTTTTTTTTAGTTCAACACGCGTAAATGCATTACAAAGGAATAAAGAAAAAAAAAAAAGCTTTTGATTACTTCTCAAAATTCGAATGGTAAATATGTATTTTTTGAAGATTTATGTAATGCATTTGTTGTTGCAAGTGTTCCTACGCATAAAGCCGGACAATCATGTGTTAAAATCATTTTCGGAAAAACATACTGACAAATCAATTTCGAACGAAAGCACTTTAGAAAAAAAATTACATACCAAATATTTATAAAAGCGTTATGGACCAAATAATTACGTTTGCATAATTGTTAACGAAACAACCGGTCCAAAAGGTTTGTATAAATATTTTTTTTTAATTTCTCATATAATAAAATTTACTATTTTTAGGTTTGACTATTGCAAATTCATTAATTAGTAAATTTAAATGAGACGCCTAGTAAATCGTATTTAGTTGAATGTAAAGAACTAGAATCCACCAATTAAGAAACTATTTGTCAGTTTATTAATTCCTCGTTAAAAATATTTCCTGGTATTGAATAAAGAATATTACTTTTTATTAGTGATGCTGGTACTCATATGATCAAAGCAGCAAAAACATTAGAAATATTTTTCCCGAAATTAATTCATATTACGTGTATGGCGCACGCAGTTAATTAAGTTCTAGAGAAAATTCGAGAATTGTATGTTGACATTAATAAATTGATTAAAAATGGTAATACATTAAGTACCTATTTAAAATTTAAATTCGTATGTAACTTACTTCGTTTATTTCAGGGAAAAAAAAGATTTTATAAAAGCACCATCGAGGATAAATATATACAGAAAAGAAATGCCGGATATACCTTTACCACACAAACCTATTATTACAAGATGGGAAACATGGTTAAACGCTGCACATTTTTATGTAAATAATTTTGAAGAGTTTAAAAATGTGATTGAAAGTTTAACAGATGGTGCTACAAGTGTCAAAAAACTGAAACAGCTTTTGCAAAATAATGCAGTCAAATGTGGTTTAGCATTCATAAAATTGCGTTTATCCGAGTTACCCATGAATCTTAAAAATTTGGAAGAATCTAATAGTGAACTACTGAAAAGCATAGATATGTTTTAGAAAAATTTTATAGAAGATATTTTAACAAATAGTCCTGGTCCAAATGGAAAAAAAATCAAGGGTTTAAAACTTTAAAGTCTTACTATGAAGTCGTGTTAGATGAAGAAAATGTTAATTTAGATATAACGCCTAGTTTATTAAATTGTTTTAAATATACAACAATAACTAGTATAGACATAGAACGTAGTTTTTCTTTGTACAAACATATTAGAATTAATAGAAGATTTAATTTTAATAAAAATAATTTAGAAATGTATCTTATTATCAATTTTAATTAAAAAAGTAACATTTATCTAATTTTTTTAATTTAAATTTTGCATTTTTATAGTGCAATTTATTATGCAATTTTTGTGCGTTTTAAATGCAATTAAATCCACTATTTACTGATAATATACGAATACTATATATAAGTACCAGTGTTTTTTTAGTACAATATATATTATTTATTGGTTTGTTTCATCTCAAATAAGTTCTTCAATTTATTGATAATTATAATAATATATTACACCAAAAACAATAAATAACAACAATCAAAAAGACAAAACAAAATTATTGGTCTACCCACTACATATACACTGTATATAGCCAAAGGCTGTGCTATGGGTAGGAGTTCTAAATATAATAATGGAATAAAGAGAAAGAAAAACAAAACAAAAAAAAAAAAAACATAGTTACTTAAACAAATTGTTAAAAATTAACCATATGTAACATAACATAATACATTGGTAAGGTTAGATGACCGTATAACACTATCATATAACGTTTTGTCTATACCTACTCGATTCAACAATCAGACAGGAGATGGGCTGGTTCTTGTGTGGGCCGCTATATTATTATATAATCGCAAAAAAAAAATGTTGTGTTTTTGTAAAATAGACATATAATATTAAAAATCAAATATGAAAGTATCATTTTGGTACTTATTGGTGCATTCATACTATTACCGGCCGACCGAGTTGCTACGGTAACCAAAAAATACCATTATTTTATCCGTTGAATATAGTTTTTTACGACGATAATAATATCAATAATGTGAATACAACCGACAATCGATAATATTAACACATATTAATATATAACCTGTGATATTAAATGTGATATAATTTTTTTTTTTTTTTTAATATTTCTAGAACCTTAAAAAAAAAAATATTTACTTTTTATTAAAATATTTGATTGTGTATGATATGATATGATGATTTTTATAATAGGTTTTTAAAAATGTGTTATTTGTACACGTTACGAATTGTACAGTGCAATTACCGTATACAACAAAATTGTACAGTTCACGATGTGTACACAAAGATCACTGTAGGTACACATTGCGAAATGTACAGTACCGGACGTTGTACGTAACATAATAAACACTCTTGTAAAAACGGTATTTAGCAACCACTGCGGTCGTTTGTGTACGACAACGGACGAAAACAATATCGTAATAAAGAAGCACAAAAACTTACGCGGCTGTTCTCCGTCGCACTTCTTTTGAGTTTCTTCGAAAGACCCGTAACCCGTCGGTGACGGCGATCGTCGAATGGTTTACGTCAGCTATCTGCAACGGTTCACCAACGGGCGTACATCGATTTCAACACTGGTCGACGACTTTTCTACCACTGCTAATGTATCCGTATTCCATTGAGATCGAAAACACGTACGATAATAACATCAACGAGTACTCTTGCGCAAAGACAGATGATGTTTTGTGAAATGTTTTTAAATGACCTAATGTTCTGATAAAAATAAACAACAATCGTTTTTTCTTTTTCGGTCCGTCACGGATAATACAAACATTTTGACTGCGTTAACATCCACGAATATTATTCTGATTATTTTTATCATATAACATGTGCACACAAATAATGGCGCGTATACTGGCGAACACGTTGAATTTGACCAATACATTTGAACGTGGCGATAAATGTTATTGGTTTTACTGTGATGTTGTGGTTTTTCATATTATTATTTTTAATCCCAATTTTCTACCTACTTAAAATAACATTCTTATGAATCATATAAAGGGGATAAGAAACCGGTGTTCAAATTACCTTCAATTTTTTAAAACATGAAAATGATTTTTTATACGCAAACTCCACTATTTTTATCATTCCCGCACTTTAAAATTATCCTTCAGAAAAGATACTATAGTATCTGGCGATTCAACACCTAATGGCCGGTTACAGGTCGACTTCTTTTTGTATTTTTTTTTTCTTTTTTTAATCCAACGACTAACGTTAGATCGTCTACCAAAACGTGTTTGTCTTTATAAGTTTTCTTAATATTACGATGGGTCGTCCATTGACACCGCCTCTCCATTTGCCTGATTATAATAATCAACTATATTCAACTCCCAAATCGATACCTGTTGATTAAAATACTCGTAAAAAAACGTGTTTTTTTTTTTTAGATGTTTGGAAGTTTAACTCTTCGATTGGAAAAATGTTTCAAACTAATGATAGATTTTGAGTGTAAAGAAGAATATATTAGTTTTACAGTTTTACTATGATAATTGCCATTTTTTTTTCTGTCTGTCAATACCTTTTCTACAAGAACTCTTGTTCAGATCATCTATTTCGGGTATGGTTACTGGATACAAATTTTATCTATTTGGTGCAAGAGAGAGGTCATTAATTTTTTAATATCTACAAATATATTTACTACCTATATCAGTCACTGTTTTATCTACTATTAATTATCAAAACATGTACTTATCTATTGCACTTTTCAATCCAGTGTAATATTGAAATTATAGGTATGGGAGAGTAGAGGAGCTAAGACTTAAGTTTTTCAGGAGTGTCGAGTAGGATTTTAATTAAAAAACACAAGTATAATAATACCTTACATTTTAACAAGACTTCTTTAAAGTAGGTATGTGTTCAGACACAGCATTCAATAAATATTGGTAGGTACTTAATGTACCTACATAATACTTCATTATAAAAGGCTGGGAGAAGGATTGGACACCTAGATACCCCCTCCCTCCATGATAACGTCACAGGAACTACAGCCATATAAAAAAAAAATAATTGTTTTACTTAAGTACTAAACTACCTACTCTAAATTATATGCTATACCAAGCAATGTATAGATAAACTTGTTGGTTACTTATATAATATGAAACAAAGACTTAGATTATTAAACAATGTTTTTTTGTCACTTCTATTTTAATAAAAAAAAAAAAAAGAACAACTGGTATTATTGTAATAGTAGGATAATACCAAACATACTTAAAATTTTAATGCATGTAAAAGTATTGTAAAAAATATAAATTTTTTAAAATCATACAAACAATTATGATATCAATAAAGAAATATTCATTAATACGAGTATTAAGAACTACAAAAGTATATAAGAAATGTTAGTTTGTTGCATTTATACAAATGAGAACAAATGTATGTATAATGTATATTATATTTATACATACCTATATTTTTGGCAGTCATTACCACAATCACATTTATTTTTTTCAAATACGCGCATATACTTAAAAATTATAATATTTAAGAATATTATGAGTACATAATATTGGAATCCGCATAATATTTAAAGGTAAATAAAATAGTTAACGCAGAAAAAAAAAATTAACATTCTTACCTTAAAATGATTTTCAATTTTAAAAAATATTAGATCAAGTGATAACAAAATGAATACATAACTAATGTTTAGCTGAAAAAATTGTGTTTTTAACTTTTGAAATAAGTTTTTTAGGATTCTGAAATATTTGATATAAGGACAACTTTAATAAAATAATGTGAAAATCTAAAATTTAGCTATCAGCCGGACTTCATGAATATGCAACTGATCAGCATTACCCATTGGCTTTCATTCTTCCATTTTCCATTATACTATATTTTATTGTGTGATAAACATCTTTAGATTTATTAAAATTTAAAAGTTAAAATATGAAAATATTTTATTTTAAATTTGCTTTTTAAATCAGATAGTTATATAATTAAATAAAAATAAATAAATAATTAAATAAAAAAAAAAAAACCAAAAACACAAATTGGTTTAGAGATACACTGAAACTTGTCTTAACAGAAACCTTGATAAAATAGTTAATAGACACTGATTCAAATAATATGCAATTTTTATGAATTGATTATGAACCACTATTTTGATATGTAATGTTTTTGATATATTAATTATAACACATATCTTCTTCTCGTTCCGATCAGTATTTCTTATTAAATTACAATCCTTCTTTTTCCCAATATTCAATGATTTTCATCATTTCGTCTGTAAATTCAATTAGTCCAATGAGGTCTTTCATCACTCATCTACTAGGTGCCAATATACACTTAAGCAGATGGCTTGCTGTTTATTTCTCTCCACACTCACATTCCGCATCATCTGTCATTCCCTATCTATTAAATTTTCTTAAGTTCTTTCAATTTGCGTCCTCAGCCGATTGAATTTTTCACATTTTCCAAGGTAGATTATGTATAATTAAAATTACAATATTGTATATGTTAGTTTTTAGATTTTTAAACAAAGTTATTTTAGTATGAACATATTTGTACAAATAAACTATTATAGTTCCACTTACAAATATTGTGTAAAACAAGGCTGTTTTTCTATAAACAATGATTTATAAATTAATAAAATTATAGTTTAAAATAGATAAATAAAAATTAATAAATTATCATAAAAATATATTAAAGTTATTTGTACCAAGAGTAATAACTAGTAAATAACAAGACAAGAAAAGATGTTGATCTACAATGAAAACAACGCTAACAAAAAATAATATTTTCATTTTATGCAAAATATGATAGTATAGGTGCATTTAGAAATATTTCTAATTTACAATATGCCCATGGATTATTCTTTATAAATTATAAATAAATTTAGATGTTTCTTGGGTTATTGTGGTAGCTACGGAATAAATCAGTATCAATAAAATACATAAATATATCAATAAAAACTACTTGTATTATATTCAAAATAAAGTATACACAGTTATAAAAATACTTAGTTAAATAATATATAATTGTGGTGTTTATATTTTTTAATTTTCCTGGTAACTTTGATCATAACTAAAAAAAATATTATATTTGTTATAAATACCAACTACACTTGAGAAATATTTACAAGACTATCATTTAATTTTCATCATATATGGTTTAAAACACTTACATAGTTGCTATAGAAAATAAGTCAATACTTTAAACAATTTGTTTACCAAAAACAATTTTCACTTATTACATTTTCAAGCACGAATTACTAAACTTTAAGCAGTTATCTGAATATTGTTGAAAATCAGTACACAATCAAAACTATTGAAACCAGTAACAGACAATGGACAACCAGGTTTAAATTTGAATTCCATATTTTAGATTAAAAGTTAAAGCAAAGTTAGTATCAATTATATTAAAATATATTTTAAAATGTATAAAATAATTGAATATTTAATAGAAAAAATAGGAAAATAGGTTTTTGAAAATACTAAACATTTAATAAAAAAAATAAAAATGATAAAAAAAAAATATTTGATAATAGTTGCATTTAACTTTTAAATTGTACAAAAAATAATTTTTGAACAAATGAATTTCAACGCTTTCAATTTTAAAAAAATAAAAAATTACTCATGGATTTCATTTTCCCATATTGAATCATTAAATTTATTTTCAAGGACATTGAAATCAGCGAAGCTTTTGACTTAATGGACACAAATCAGCAGATGGCAATTAGCCCAAGAAACTTTAAAATAGCAATAAGGGCATTGGGATTGGAACTAAGTCGAGATCAATACATCAAGTTAATATCTGGAATAGAAAAAGATCAAGAAGGATTTATTAAAAAAGAAATATTCATGAAGGAAATGCGTAAATTATTATCAAAGAGAGATACCAAAAATGATATGATAAAAGCATTCCAATTAATTGATGAGGATGACACGGGAAAAATTAATTTTTACAAACTCAAAAATGTTGCTAAGATGCTTGGAGAGCAAGTATCTGACCAAGAAATTTTCAATATGTTGGACGCTGCAGATGAAGATGGGGATGGACAAGTCAATCTTACAGAATTTATGAAGATCATGGATAGAGCTAGAAAAGTTCTATAATATAAAATATTTATTATTCGTGTTCTATATTAAAATAATAATTTATTATGGTATTTTTGTTTAAAATAAATGTCACATAATTATGTTATGATAAAAATAATGACTAATGTTAAATTTGATTTAAGTTGTTAATTTATATAAATAAATAAAAATAAAAACAAACAAACAAACATAACTGGGTACAGAAAACAGTACTTAGATGTAACCATCACTGTATTTGCTGGAGTGTTGATTAGGTACTAACCATATAGACCTTTGAGAACACCATCTGTGATAATGTCTGGTAAACACAAACGTTTTTCATGTCTACTTCTATTTGGGATGTGTTCGGTGATCAAGTGAAACACAGGACGCTGATATTTGATATCTATTCTATGGCTAATAAACAAAAAAATAAATTAATAAAAACAGACGTCCTAAGATAATGGGAACGTGTGCAAGTCACTGTTGTAGATAATTTAATGTATACTTATATGCAACGATAAACCATTGTTTACGGAAAAACAATTCTGAGCAGAATTCAGTTAATAATGATAATTTGTCAAAAATATATGTCATTTTATAGTAAAAGAATTAAATAGGCTTTAAATATTTTCTTTAATAATATTTGTTTAATGTTGAATCAATTTTTCCAGTTTCCTAAGTTTTTCCTCTGTTATTTTCAGTTGTTCATATTTGTTGAGTATCTTTCCACACGGATTTCCTTTCAGAAAAGATGCTACACTTAAAAATCTGACCAAGTCTTCTGGTAGAAAAGTTGTGAACAGATAAAAAAAAAAAAAAATAAATAAATAAACATCTAAAACTATAGTTTTTCTATAAGCTTCTTCACTACACTCAGAATCTAAAATATAATACCTAGGTAATAATTTAAATTAGATGCGATTAATACGAGAAATATAATAATTTGTAAATAATCTTTTACCTAGGCTGATACTTGAGCCCGAGGAATTCCATGACTTGTTTGTAGCCGTCTTCGATTTTGAACACGGTTTGTAAATACCTCTCCAAACCAGCCCTTCTCTGTTCGAGAACTTTGGGCTGCGAGCATCTGATACGCTTTGACGGGAACGGCGGTGTAGAAATGGTTTTTCTCAGCTATAATAAAACAAAAACGAACGGTCAAGTTCAGTAATGTCATGTGGCGTTATCACTGGCATACTTCTCTGTGGAACGCATGAAAAGCACTGTACCGCCTTTCCACAGACTCCTGATAGTCGACTGACAGCACTCTAATGGTGTATACATAGTGCGGCTTGACGTCCTGCACCAGTCTGTAATTAGGTATGGTAATCTCGATCATAGTCGAATGGCCATTGTGTTAGTTTCGAATGTACAGTGAACGCGACCGCATTCAGACGGTTCGATTGTCCAAAATCCACGACATTCTAGTTCTAAACAGTAAGCACTCTATAAGTCGCATTTGATATCACGGAACAACTTTTTTTCTCCAAAATAAATATAAACATACAATAATGATAATGATCTGATAACAGTGATAATAGCATAGATAACAAAGAAATGGATGGGCCTTGCTATAGGGCTTGTATAATATATATTATATATTTATATGTCTACGTATAAAATGTTGTTGCCTGATATTGGCCAGTATCTATACAATGGTACATGATGATATACTATACTATTATAGTATATGATCAAAGGGTACAACCGGTACAGTAACTGCTATCTGGTGGTGAAACACAAATACCATTAAATTGATACGAAATCAAGATGTTTTCGTTCTACTAAAATATGATTTATGAACCCAGTACTTAAATAGGAGTCCTTCGTCCTTATTTCACTACATTGCATTGTTTAAAAAATTACCCATCTATAAAAAAAACTATGTACAAAATATAATACAAGGTTATGTTTGTATGCTCCTGTTGAGCGTTTATTTTCATTTGCTGGTTTTGTGCACTCACCAAGTAAATCAAATTTATCGGACAAAATGTTTGAAAAATTAATTTTTCTATGATATATTTAAATAAGTAATTTTGTTTTATTATTGATTGTTAAGTGTAGGTAAGTACCTACTGCATTAATATTTATAATACGTAAAAACGTGAATACTTACTTTAAAACATGAAAAAAAAATAAATTAAATCTAGGCTTATTATAAAGTAACTGATTTTTGATTCTGTACATATATAACACTAGATACACAGGTTGTACCGTTTGAAAACATTTTAGGTCCACTGATTTGATTTTCGTTTTCAATCCTGTATATCTTAGTTCGTGGTTTTTAGCAGTGTTATCATGAAATATGAAACCTAATGATGTTTTGAAATGCCGTAATATTTACGATTTGAGAATAATACATTTCGTAAATTTTCCCGTTTTACCTACGTTTTCCCAATTTATTATGAAAACCAGTGGCGTGTTGAAAGGGGTACTATGACGCCTGGACGTAATGGTAAAAAAAAATTGAAAGGGGGGAGGGGGGGTGAGCGTGTAAACGGGTTGGTGGTTATATTAAGGTAAGCAATACCTTAAAACACAACAATTGCATTTAGTTATAACAATTATATATTTTATATATATGATGATATGGATATGCACTGAAATGTATGCCATATAAATGTTCGCCACGCCACTGATGAAAACCGCGGATCAAATGATGAGCACGAATTGTGTAAGACACCGAGAACTATCGCACTTAACTGCAGTGGTATTTAATATTCATATTTTAATATGAAATAAATACCTAATTAATGTAATAACGATTTACTATACTGATTACTGGATAATTGTACAACAAATAATTTTATCTTTTATTGCACTCTTGGTAAAAAATGATTCCATTTAATTGTTATAACGTGACGTCCTATTATAACGTTTTTATTTATTTATTTAATTCTATGATAATTGTTTGAACAGCTGAAATTTCATGAATTTACTATAATCCAATAATAAATTATTGCAATAACCTCTCATGTTTCAAATATTAAACTTAAACTGTTAATAGTTTTTTTTTTTTCTGGTTAACCGACAACAGCGGCGGTAAACTATTATACTTATCAAAATTAACGATGCGAATTATTGTTATATAATTTAATATGCATAGGCGTGCGCACGGGGGGGTGCAGGGTGTGCAATTGCACCCCCAACGGGTTGTCGTGATTTTTTTTTTGAACATTTTGGACCATTTAAGCGATTTGCTACCAATACCAAACTCCTCCTCCATTCCTTTCTATTATATGCATGGTTTATGTCTTGACATTACTTGCCGACTTGAACAGTAGTTTTTAAAGTTTGTAAATTTAAATAATGATATATGGGTTGTTTTTTTTTTTTTAAATAAACTAAATAAAATAAATTTCAATTTTAAAGGATTTTAGTGATTTATTACTTATTAAGTATTAATATGTAGTAGTTTGATGGTTTGCACTCCCAGTGAAATTATTTTGCGCGCGCATATAATATGTATAGGCCAAACCATGATGTTGATGTGACATTATTACTTTGTTTCTTATTACTTGCAGGAAAAAGAAGTTTTCTATATTTGTTTAGATCCCTTTTTTTTTTTATTTCACTTGATGTTAGGAATTTCTTTCCTAATATACCTATATAAATAACATTTTGAGGATATACGTTTTATGATTACATCAATATATTTAAATAAATATTTGCTATAAAAAAAAACTCATAGTTGGTCGGATACTCCAAAGTATTTACCTGGATTTGTATAATTTACAATATTTTTATGTAATAAACGAAGAAATTGTCCACTTGAACTATAAGAAATAACTGAGGTTTCAATGCGAAAACTGTACGCATTTCTTTGTGAATAATTAATTCGTTTACCCGCTAAATATTTATTGATTAAACTATTGATTCGTTCACACGCGTTATTGTCGACACTTATAAGTAGACCGTCGACATTTGCGACTTAGCGAGATATTAGTTGAAATATATCACTCAAGAATTCTGATTTCTCTGCATCTACAAAAATATGGTTCGCATAATCACATCGACCGTGGCTATCCGAAATGTGACGAAAACTATTATTTGTCTTTCCGTAATCCTATAGTAGTTAAATAGTATATACGTCGTAGGCCATATGGAAAATTATTCTTTTTTCAATGGGGTAACCCGTCTGTGAACTACTGATTATTTTTCCAAACGGCCTGCTATTTTTCAGACTTATTGCGTATAGGCTAACAGAAGTTAGGTCTTTTAAGACCTAGCTACAATAATTATAATATAGTAATAAATATTTTACTCGTTTTATTTTAGGGGTAATTTATTGCTTTTACAAAAACAAAAAAAAAAAAAAAAAAAAAAAACAAAAAGATCAATAGAATTATTATAACGCGTAAATTGTCAACCGCGTCTATTTGTTTTGCAAAAACATTTTTTTTATAACGAATCACTGACAAATTCGACTGTTTTTTTAACGATAACGTAGAGGCGCACTAACGTCTAGGGCCGTGGTCTAGTATAAACAGTATGCCGACGAAACAACACACCCTTCGATCGCATATCATATGTATTTCTGCATGATATTGTATAATATGATCGAAGGCTTGGATCGCATTATAGGCGATATCGTTCCCGTTGAGAACCACTGATCCGAGCCCTCAGTCCACACCACGAATTAATTCGTGATGCCATCACACGAATTATTGGACACAGGGATAATATAGGATAATATATAGTAATCATGTAGACAACGTATGGATGGTGTTGTTTTCAAATACGTTCGGCTGTGGCAGAATGGTTTTGTTACACGGCCGAGAGGGGTAGCGATAGGGATAACGGAAAGCTGATTTTTATTCGCGTTATTTTTAATATAATAACAAATTGGTTATTTAATATCAATTCGGTATTATAAATATTGAAGGCCCGATGACCCTAACCGTTACAATCGAAATCAAAAATATTAATAAATTGTAAATGTATATTTTGAAAATTCGCCATTGGTCTTAACTACCGATCCAAAGCCTGATGAAGTGTAGAGGAACTTTATTGGCGGATATAGATTAAAATAAAATTTTTTTAAAATAAAAAAACAAAAATATTATATAATACTATATTTTTTCATTTTCTTGTCGTTTATGGTGCACAGCAGTGGCGCTGAACATGGGGTACAGGTCCAAATTATTTTTTGGTGGGTGTGCGGTGCCAATGATGGGAAATATACATAGTATGAGTAGTATTTGTAGAAAATATAACTGCAACAAAAAGTGCTATGAGTAATGTAATATTTTACACCCAAAGAAGATCAATATAATACAGAATTGCTATCAACTTGTTTGCTCGAGTATTTTTAAATTTTTGCAGGCGGACAACATGCGCAGCCTTTGTCAAGTTGAAACGGTGCAGTTGAACACGAAAAATGTCTAATACTTCCTTGCGGCACACAGTTGTTTCTTACGAAACACGGATCCGCATCAGTTCCGGCGTATATTGGAAATACGTACATCAATACAACATAACACACGGAAATAATTAGAGAAGTCCACTTCATTTTAATACTTGCCTCTGGAAAAGTAATGGTGCCGAAACATTCAGCGTTAATTAATTAATAATTAATTAGTTCAATCTGTTTCCATCGTGTTCAACATGTTGTGTACAGTCACTGTATTCAGTTATAATCTTAATAACAACGATAACCAATGTTACCATAGGTAATTGATAATATAAATATAATTACAAAATGTATGGAGAGTTCAGAGTATCGTTGTAAAGTCATGGTCATGTGCTTATTGTTAGAAGAAAATGTAACTTACCATACGTGTTGAATTTGTTTAATTTATTATTTATGAACCATCAATATAATTAGAAAACACACAAACAAAACATGGCGTAGTCGTTTACATTTTAAAACAATATTAGCAAGTACCTATTCGCTGGATTGAAACGGGAAAAGAAATTAGACATGATGGTATTCAATCGACCGGCAAACTTCAAACTAAAAAATTATTTAAATAAGAAATTGAAGTCTATTTTATGGCAATTGAGACAAATTGTAAAAGTCAAGAAGTTCAAGTGGCAAGATTACTCAATTTATTAGGTTCAGATGGCTTGAAGCTGTATAACACATTTTAAATTGATGATGTGACAGTGGGTAATATTTTTAAGTCCATGTAAGAATATTGTGTTCTAAGAAAAAATGAAGTTATGGAGCATAACAAATATTTCACAAGAAGCCAAGCCGAAGGTGAACCTTTTGATCAATTTTATGCAGATTTGCGTGATTTGGTTAAATAATGTTCGTTTGGTGAAACAGAAGAAGCACTCCTTCGTACACAGGTAGTTTGAAGAACAAATGATATAGAATTACAATCAAGATTATTAAGAGAAGATCTCCCATTAACAAAAGTCATTAAATATTGAGCATGAACCAAATTGAAAAAGGAAAAAATTGGTGTTTCAAATCAAAGGAGGTAAGTAAAATAAATCAACAACAATATGGAGTAAAGAAAGGCAATAAAGAGAAATTTGATGAAATAAATCAAAACAAGTCTAACAGTACTAGCTCTAAAGATCAAGGTTTTGGTAAATATGAAAAAAAAGTATTAAATTTTTTAAATGTGGTAATCAACATGGTATTAACAAATGTCCTGTATTTGGAAAAAATGGTGAATTATGTAGTAAATTAAATCATTTTGTTATTAAGTGTAAATCTAACTGTAAAATTAGTAATGGTCAAGTGAATAAAGTACAACAGAATGTAGAAAGGGATGTGACATATTTATCATTAAACTCAATTTAAACATAAGTGTACAAGTTGGACTGATACATTTAGTGTAGATAATATAAAAATGTTGATAAAGCTAGACATCGGTGCTTAATTGAATGTGATGTTATTAAGGGAATTTAAAAAATTAAATTAACAATTGGAGAAAAGTACAGTGATAATTAAAGCGTTTGGAGGGTTTTAAATCAAGTCTTTAGAAAAATTAAAGTTACTATTGATAACATTATATATAAAATAGTAACATTCTTTGAGGTAGTGGAATATGATTGGTTGCCAATTTCAAGATTAGTTGATTGTATGAAATTGAATTATAATTTGAGTGGAATAAATGAAATAAAAGAAGGTGAGAACAAGAAGAATATATTTGTGAAAGAAAATTTTGATATTAAAGGTCTTGGAAAATTTCCAGATAAAGTTAGTGTAAAATTTAAAAAAATACTGCAGTTTCTCATAGAAGAATTCTGTATAGAATAATGGATAAATTAAAAGAAGCTTTAAATAGTATGTGTAAACTAAAAGTAATTGAAAAATGTAATGAACCAAGTGAGTGGCAAAGTCCAATAATAGTTGTTGATAAGCCTGTCAAGAATTTAAGAATTTGTTTAGATCCCAGAGAGATTAAAAAAAGTATAATTAAAGAAATTTATCAAATACCCACGATAGAAGAAATTAAATTAAATTTAATAGGTAAAAAAATGTTTGCGGTACATATTAGATTAAAATAATGAATTTTACCGTTGTGAGCTTGATCAAAACTCAAAACAATAATGTTGTTTTAGTACTCCTTTTGGATGCTATTAATTCTTGAGATTACCTTTTGGACTAGCATCAGCTACAGGAAAATGTCAAGAGCCTACTTCTAAATACTTTGAGGACATAGAAAATATAAATGTTTATTTTGATGACACACAGGAAAGATAATCGATTAATATGATAGAGCATTAAATGAAATAATTAAAAGAGTGAGCCAACTAAATATTAAATTCAATCCCAAAAAATTACAATATATTGTGTCAACTATAAAGTTAAGTTTATTTGATTTATATTTAGTGCTGAAGGTATTCAACCAGATACAGAGAAAATAAGGGTTATAAAAAAATTACAAAAGAGCTACAATCTTTTTTAGTTATGGTAAACTATCTAAAGGGTTTTATTCCTAATCTTTCAGAAATAATGATACCATTTAGACAGTTACTAAAGAAAGATGTTATTTGGGATTGTACAATAAATTAAAGCACAGTTTTTGAAAAGATTAAAAATGTTCTATATGAAATACTTAGTCTAAATAACTTTAAGCTTAATGAAACATTTGAAATAGAAACTAATGCTTCAGAAAAAGCAATAGATGCTGTATATTCCAAAAGAAAAAAAAACCTGTTCATGATAATCAAGATATCTGAGTGAATAAACTTTGCTTAAGTAGAAAAATAAATGCTTGCCATAGTATTTGCATGCACCAAATTTCATTATCTAATTTAATGACAAAATCAGGTTAACATTTTTACAGACCATTAACCATTAGTGTCAGTTATTAAAAAAGAAATTAATAAAATACCGAATAACAGGCTCAGAAGATTAAGAGTTAAATTATTAATAAATAACTGAATTTGGAATACCTACCAAGAAAATATATATATGTTGCACACTTTCTTAGTTTTAATTATAATAAAAGAAAGGAGTAAAGTTATGAGATATTAAATAATATTGTACATACACTGAGTGAACTTAAAATTAAATTTGAAAATGTTAATTGTTTTTAATTGTTGTTTTAATTAATTGTTAGTATCAAGGTGGTCATAAATATACATATAAAGTATTATAATAAAACGGCAGGAAAAGAGGAATATGAATTTAACCTTGGTGACAAAACTGTAATATAGAATAAGTTCACAGAAGTATGGTGGCCAGTAGTGGTAAAGAAAACTGATTTTCCTAGATCTTATATTGTTAAAGATGTTAGTGGCAGATTGTTAAGAAGAAATTCTATTTTCTTGAAAAGAGTGAAAAACTATGATTCCATAGTTGACTTTGAAGAGGATTAACAGTTTAAGATAGAAGACAAAAATAGTAAAGAAAACAGAGATGATGTTCTATTGAACAAGAGTGAGAGTGTAAATATGAATTCAAATGGGAATGATAAGCAGATAAATAGGGAGTATACTAGACATGGGTGTAGAATTAAAAAAGTAATTAGATATGGTTTTGATAATTAAATTAACTATTGTATTTCTTAATTGCTGTTGTGTTAAAATTAATTTAATGTTGTATTATATGTTCATTTGTATCTATTGTTAATAAAAAAAAATTGTTGATTTAGTTAATAAGCTGATAATTTGTGTTGTCGTGAAGTCATAATCATGTGCTTGTTATAAGAAGAAAATATAACTTACAATGAATGTTGAATTGTTTAGTTTATTATTTATGAATATTCAATCTAATTAAAAAAGATGCAAACAAAACAGACCTGACGTTGGAATATTTTGTAAAATATAGTTTGGTTTTCAAAAATCACTTTTACTACTGCGAAACTTTGTGTTACTGATTAAAATGTATACCCAATGCTGTTTATATGCAGTTTTCAATTTATATACTGTACAGCATACTGAAACTATAAATTATGATTTTATTCATGGCTTGTATATATAAGTACACTGTAAAAAATGAGAAGTGTAAATTTACACGAAATGTGTGGCAACACACATTAATAACATCATTTACGTATTTACATGTTTTTACAACATGCCCCTTGTAAATTTAAATTATTTTCAATTTGACATTTACTATCCGATTTTTTAATTTCAGGTATGACTTGATGATAATTGTACACAACAAATAGGATAGTAAATGTCAAATTTAAAAGAATTTAAATTTACAAGCAACATGTTGTAAACTTGCACACTTAGTGTTATTAATGTGTGTTGCCACACATTTTATGTAAATTTATTCTTAAGAATCTCTAAATTTTTATGTAATTATCATAGTCTTTCATTAGTTTTAATAATTTTAGCATGTTTTTTAGCAGAAGTTCTCTTTTTTAACTTTATTGCTTTCATCATTTATATTGACTATAGAATTGTAAAATACATTAAATAATTTCAGATGTATTGTAAATGACATAAATTAAAAAGTTACCTTTGGAGAAACTGAAAAATACCAGCTAATTCTCTAAGGTATTGAATATTAAACATATAATAAGACACAAACATAATTTTAATTGCTGCTCTTTTAACTGTCAGTAGTTCCCTCCACAAACACTGTTTGTCCACAAATACTAAACATTTTGGATTCAACCATATAGAACCTGTACATTTGTTAAATTACTTTTTATTATTTATAAGACAGAACTTTAGTTACTGCTATTACAACTAGAATCATTGAAACATCTAAAGTTAGTTAAAATTGTTACTCACAAATTATTTAAAATTCAAATGAGTTATACTGAGATGATTTAATAAATATATTCTACATAATACAATTTTTAGTTTCAATAGTATGACTTGTTTCAAAATTGTTTATGAATTATTAGTGTATTATTATCTGAGGATATCTAGATTGGAATGTTGGGTGCTTAGTGTGGAACATTTTTACTAAAGAAAAGAAATTAAATTTATTTTATAGAACTATAAAAACTATAATCTTACTCAGACAAGCCACAACAGATGTTGAAATTATTTTTGTATTTGCCTATAGTTCATCAAGACTATCAGTGTTCTATAATTAAAATTAAAAATACTTAAACTAATTTAAAAATATATGCATTTATCTTATGACATTGAACATGTAGTTGGACACATTTTTAACTATATACAGTCTCTCATCATTACACAATGTGCCTTTCTCTAAAGATCTTAACTGTGGGATTGTGAAGCCAAACACAATTTTTGATTGTGTCGCGGGGGACATTTCGTTTGCCACAGATGAAGAAGATACATTGTTGATTTCAGATTGTGTATTAATACTTTCATGTATTGTAACATCTGCAATTTTTAAGTAACTTATTAAATCGATTATGAATATTTGTATACCTATACCTTATACCTTTTGATAGTTCTAGTTTTAATTGACTTTTATTATACCTTGTAGATCTTTTTCAAAACTTCATTTTCATTTTTTATGAATAGTAAACACTTTCACATTTGTTTTCATAATATTTTTAATATTTAAATGGCTGCGATGTATTTTTATGATTATGGTTTAAAGACTTAATATCTACTTGATTGAATTCGCTGAAAATTTCAGGAGTTGATTGAGAAATTCAACTCCTAAAGTTGGACTCGCACAGGATATTTTTCCTTTAAATACGTCAACCGCACATTTTTTAGTTCATTTATAACATTCATTGCTCGAACGGGAAAAAAAAACTAATTGTTTCCGCGGGGAGTAATGTCAAAACTTATTTTATTTGTTCTTTCAATAATGTGCACGGGCGAAACCTGCAAGTAATACAACTATAGCAGCGTTTCCCAAACTGTGGTCCGCGGACCCCTAGAGGTCCGCATATATGCCGGAGGGGGTCCACGAGCGTAAATTGAAAATACTATATAGCATAATATATAAGAACGTAAATACTGAGGCATAAAAGGGTATAAGGNATAGTATTTTTTTATATTATAACGGACACTGTAGGCTCTTTTAAAAGATTAAAATGTATAATTTAAGCCTTTTAAGGGGATTAGTGCCCGTTTTCAAAATTGTCTCCATTTCTGTGAAATTCCATTTTAGATTCTGAACGAAGCGAGAGATTGATTCGTCACAGCACCTCTCGTACGTCGTTTTCTGTTTTGCATAGCTAGGAAGAATACTGGAGCGTGGAAAACTAGCATCCCTATGTGTGTACAATACATTAGTCAAGTCAACAACAACCAGGCCTTAATAATATTGTTTCGTGGGTAATAATTATAATATTGTTTCTAAATTATCAATCAACAAACACCACTCGTGTTGCGCCGTACCGGATATTGCCATCAGCATCCAATGATACCATGATTACTCGTCAGGTCAAGTGTATTTATACTATTCTAATTTGTATTAATTGTACTTGGAATAAATTCTATCGTTGTTTAATTGTGTTAAGTGACGAACGTAGGTCTTAAGTCTCTTTGACTTATAAAATATAACCTAGAGAACTTTATTTATATCAGTCCGACGACTCGGTCCAAAAGGCCGCCGTCAACCGGAAACCAACTGTTCCGACCAAGTAGATTGGATTGGACATTACGTTCGGATATACGTATCACGTAGTCCTAATTTTTGAGTTGGCTAAAATATTGATATGATGTCGCAGTATACTATTATGATATTATGATTGCGTTCATAAAGAAAACAAAATATATATATAAATAAATATTAAAAAATGAAGCGGTTATGGGTTATGTAAGTTACAATTCCATTTTAAATAATATTTATACAAATACCTAGCGTACCGAAGTTAATTTCCGATGTTTTTTACAACACCGTAATATCAAGTGTATAGTTAAATAGGACCGGGATTGTCGGTAAATTAATTTTCGCACACAGACGTACAAAACAAACGCTATACGCTTGTCTACTATTATAGATAAATTACATACGTAGCTGAACAAATGGCGAACGACTCTCTTGTCCTCGTAGTTTATGGCTAACCTAAAACAAAAATCTGTCGTTACATTTTTGTAAATAGCGTCGTTATTTATGTTATTTACGTATTGTTTAATCCATTCAAAATAATGTTTACACAAAAGGACTCGTGTAACAATATATATTTTACGCTCTTAAACATTTAACGGTTGCATATGGGATTCGCTTTTTCCGCATACAAACAAAAAAAAATTATTATTAATTTAATGTATTTATATAGATACGTTTAATAAATTAAGATCTATTATCTATTAGTATCCGTAGACATTACACGCATGTTTCAAATGTAATTCCGTGAACTTGTATTCGTTTATGTATTATTGGACAATTTAACTAAAAAAAAAATTTTTTTTAAAAAAACGGACATACTTACCACAAGCATGCTTAAAGAAAGGGGTATCTGCTCTAGGTTTATTTCAACGCACCAATGTCATTTACAAAATACAACTGTCAATCGCACAACGATTACGATCTAGTAAACGGACGTCAGTACACCGACGAGTGACGATACAATTACGAGACTACAATACATTACTCGCAGTAATGTATTATCGGTTGTTATACCTATGATCATCGATAGAAAGTTTAATTGAATCAACATAGATAACAGTTATTTTTTTCAACCAAAAATAACAGTGATAACGTCCGTATAGTCATTATACAGACGTCATAGTAATCGATACAAATCGGTGTGGTACATTTAGGAGTTTTGCCGGGACCTTTACGCTAAGGTCACAGCCCGTATGTCACTACAACCGGCATCTACACCGTACGTAGTTACATCGTATGGCACGTTATTGTACAATATTATATTTTAATAAGCACACAATGTATAAAATATAATGTACCTAATGGCTGATATACATAATATAATATTATATGTATAGGTACTTAGAGCTATTTACTAAATTATTATATGTATGAGTGGGGGGGGGGGCGGTTCCGAGTATAAAAGATAATAAAAAAAAAAAAAAAAAAAAAAAAAAACAAATCAAAATCAAAAACGCCGTTTGTCCCGTTGTCCGGCCACTTATTCGGTATAAAAATGCGATAATATTATTAAATTTATCTAGGGTATCAGTTACCCCGACAAGATTATTATAAATAACGCGACTATAATAACATCAAATTATAATTATCGGAATGGAATTTAATACCCGACGTTGTCCCTGACGTGAGCTTGCTTCCCGTGCCCGTGCCTGTGACGCTCGGCCCGCCGCGTTGTTTTTCGCGCACACCCGGACGCGTTTCACTACGAAACACTTTTGGTTTGCGCCGCGACGGAGAACAGTTCGCCGACCAGGTTCGCGAGTCTTGCGTGCCGAACATTTCTAAACACGACCGGAATCTGCAACAATAGAACATTATTGTCGTGACGTGAATTAAGACATTTTCGCAGACGAGGTTGTTTTTTTTTTTTTGGCGGGGTTTTAATCAAATATTTCTCGACAATGGAGACGATTATTACAGTCGAACGCTGTGTCCGTTGTACGTAACGTGTGATATATAATCTTTACGCATTTGTAGGTTTTCGGGTGTCGCATCTTTGAAAACCGCACGAACATCGAAAACGGATCACTCCGTATCGACTCTGTGATAAGTATTTCATTCGAAAAATATGTACAAACGCACGGGCCGCATCCAAAAATCGTTTTTTTTTTTTTTCGATATTACGGTCAATATACTTTAATTTTTAGCGAACGACAAAATGGCAAGACCGCGGAGCATCTGTGACACTTTTGAGAACGGCATCCATTGACAAATACGAATGATTATACTAAATTACATAAAAGCTGTTAAAACAATTAAGCATCAATAAAGTAATCTTACTAATGATTATCTTAGACGGGTATAAACACGATAAAGATTTTTTTTTTCCTTTTGCTCCAGTCCAATTGTATGACGCAGCAAATTGATCGGTAAGGAGTTTTCTTATGTGATGACATCTTTCAGGAACATCGTTTTAATGACAATGCTACTTTTGCGTGTGTAGTGTAATTTGTATTTGTATTGAAATATTTTACGCTGACAAATAATGCAGATTTATTTTAGGTGTACTAAATGATATCGTTGTTTTAATTTATTGGATACCTAAAATGAAAAATTAGTAAAACAACAAATTGTCAAATTTTTTTAATCGGGCATAAAAAATCCAGTTGCAATACAGTAACTGCCCCACTGGTCAATTTAAAATCTTATAGTTTTTGTTGATTCGCCGTGAAATCAATTTTTATGCTTATTAAACAAATTTATTGAGACGTAATTTAACAAACATGCTAATAGTCAAAATGTATTCGAAGACATTGATGAAATTTTTAAATTTAATTATATGATTCTATTTCTGTTTTGAACACAAAAATTACATGGTTGAGTATATATTCATTACTTATATTACAATGAGAATGAGACGATATACTTATTTTTCTAGCCATCAACTAAAAAGCAAAAAACAAGGTTAAAAAAAACTATCCAAATTAGTTACTAGTTAAGAATACCTACAATATAGGTACATATATTATTTATTATTTTATATAAGAATACTATTTAATACACATATTTCTTGTGTTGACAAGTATAATAAAAATGAAAGTATTATACTCACTATCTAATTTGTGTAACTACCAAATTCGGAATTCCATGTTACGATTTTATTGATAATGGATATAATGTTAGTAGTACAAAACTCGACACTGCCACCTTTAAGCGCTACATGTCAGTTTAAGAAAAAATAAGAAAATTCTAATAACAACTGATAAGTGCTCGTTGTGTGTCCTGTATATCTTAATTCATGGTGTGGACTGAGAGCTTAACTCTGTCAAGCATCTTACATGATCTAAGAGAAAGCGAGTGTTCTCCGACAACTGATAAGAAGTAAATAAATTAATTTCAAATCAGATTTAGTAATCTCGATATCTTAAAATCTCACCAACCAATCCAACAATTTATGTATATATATTACAATATATATCTGTGTATATTCATGTCAAGGAATAAGAGTAAAATATTACCCAACGTGTTATCATTTTATTGTCGTAATTTTAATGACCGAATGAATTATTTTCTCTTGTATCAGTTTACGATAGAAATAATTATTAAAATTATCTCACGTTATATGGTTAATTATTTCATGCCAAAAAAGATCCTTGTACATCATACGAGTTAAAATAAAAATTCGACACGCTACAGATTATGGTTGTTTGTATGTCATCGCCGCAATGCCCAATAAATTATACTACACTATTTTAGTAATATAATTGAATAGGTTAAGTAGGTAAATTTATCACGACAATGAAACGAATGAAATATATACGAAAAATGCATAATGTAATGTGTCATGCATTATTCTGTATATCTTATTTACTTAATTAAATCTTTAATATTTTAAAAACCTTAATTCATCTTAATATCATATCCTAATTCAGTGTATTCTGTATATCTTAATTCGTGGTCCACACATACCACGGTCCACAGCCATAGATACTATATAGTAGTAATATATGGCTATAATCAATGGTATTATTACTTTAAGGTGTAATCATTACGAATTATCAGTATTCGTTTTACTATCAGTCACGGATATTATACTATCTATTTTTTATATAGATACTATTTTTTATTATAGTATCTATGTCCGTGCAATCAGTGTAAACAATAAAAATTGTTTTTTGTAAATTAAGGTTTCTGAATTTCTAAACAGTGCAATGTATCACAAAATAGAATAAAATCGAATATTTATTCCAACGTAAACAACACAATAATAACAAATCCAATTTTGCATGTAACGAAGAAAAGACAAAAACAGGTAAATAATAACAATAACTATCCATGCAGTGCATTGTATTTGATGTTAACAAATATTTTATGAGCATTTTATTGCAGTCTTATACATATGTTAAATTTCTTTTCGTATTTTATTCATAGTAGGTTATTCACAATTTTAAGAGGTTTTATTATTAATCCGCAGAAGTGCCACAAGAATGCCTGAAAATTACGGGTGTGTTCATTGTGAAAAAACATTTACAAACCGTAGACATTATGAGCTGCATGTCAATGGTCATCTTCGAAACAGCTGTCGTGTGTGTAGTTTGCCTTGCAATAGCCGTAAGACACTAGTTGCTCATATGTCTGCAGTTCATGGATCTAAGTTGGAATCAGACTTGTTAGACTGTAAATACTGTACAAAAACATTTGTTCAAAAACGTTCGTTGTATTCACATTACAAGACCATTCACAAAGATTTGGGTACTATTTGTCTTGATTGCGGACAGCCTTTCGACAGTAAACAAGATCTGGTAAACCATATAAAAACCGTTAAACATGGCGAAGGCTTTGTGTGCCATAAGTGCGGTGAAGTATTCACGCGAAATCAACAGTATAAATTACACTTACAAGTTAGTTTGGTTTTTGGATATATTACACTTTAAATCAGAATAATTAATATTTTACTATTTCTGCTTACAGAGGCACGATGCATACAGTTGTTTCAATTGCAATGCACAATTTGCAAATTCCAAAAAAATGAACAAACATATAAAACAATGTGTTTCAATGCTGTCGATTGATAATTTATTGAAAAACAAAGAGACAACTACAACTGGTACAATATTGTTTTAAATTTCTTAAGAGTATTACTATTGCTTATGTAATAGACATATCACCTATGGTATAGGAATATTTGGCTACCAATCGTAAGATGTAGCTGCTATGAAGTACTAGAGTATGTTTATATGAAAATTAATGAAAATTACTCTAATGGTCCTTAGTTATATAAGCAATTTTTAGATTCTGAGTGGACTTTTGTTGTTATGATGATGTTTATTTTTGTTTTTATGTAAATATTTTTTCTACTAGAAAGCACTCGCCGATTATCAAGTATAGCACCTTTTCTGAAAGGAAATGTTTTCTGAGTGGTACTTTAGAGAGGTCATTTTTTTAAATTCCTATTAATATACGAGATAATGAGGAAAACTTGGTTTTTTGGGTTAAACAAAAATGAAAGATTAAAAATATGGTTGTTATTGACAACCGTTTTTTATTTATTTTGGGGTACATATTATAAAATTTTTATAATTTTAAATATTTTTTAAGCAATCATTGTTGTTATAAAAATGAACATAGTTCTAATCATTTTACCATAATATAACATAATATATTTTATTTACAAGCAACATTATCAACTGAACTCTGTTTAGAATCATTTTTTCATTATAAATGGTTTATCATTGCTTATAGATATACAATAAATTCCCGTCTGTATCTTATCTTCCGACTTCCCACCTACAACAGTGGATGCACCTATGTTCGAAGTATGTCCATCCTACCAGAAAAATTCTACCAGAAATCTTGCTTTGATATATACATGTGGTATCATTTCTGAAAGGGAATGTTATCCAGATAGAACTTTTGGGATGTCATTTTTTTATTATCTAATCAGTTTTCATAATATCTGGGAAAAACCCAGGATAAAATGTAAGAACAAAGGGAAAAGTACGAAAATAATGCTTTTGTTATTTTTGAATTTTGTCATTTGTTTTAATTCAGTTAAAAATATTTGTAGAAACTTAAAATTCGGACAGAAAAATTATATTTGACTTTTCTAGTCGTGGTAAAATTTTCAAAATATTTAAATTATTTTTGGGCTATATATAGACATTTTATTTTTGTGAGTTTTGTACACAATTTTTATTCGGAAGGTACTCTGTGGTAAAATTGTTAAAACAGAAATGCTTGAAAATTTAACAGGAGGTTTATTGAGTCTTATATCAAATTTTAACGAAAATTATTTGAGTAAAATTTATTAATTTTTGAAGACATGTATATTGCCGAATTAATAATGATAGTGAAGTCAGAATTGAGTAGACTGACTAAGTTTTGAAGTTGTAGCTTTTTGAAGTTCTGATATTATGTGGATATCATATGTTATGTTAAATAACTCTATTTTATATTCTTCTTTAAAGTATGTTTGTCGTAGTCTAATGGTTGTACATATGTATTGTAATCTAAGGCACTTTTAGCGCACCGCGAGTTCAAACCCGTGTTTCCAAAAAAAATGTTTGCATTTATTTTTCCCTTTTACCTAACGAATGTCTTTATTTGAAAATATACAATCTGTGAGTGGTATTTTACAATAAACATATATATTTAGATAATATATTCTGTACATGGATGTCTTGATTTAAGGAACTACCCAGTATACTAACTACTAACAATTACTACAATACACACACCTACATACATATATGTATAATTTATATGTATATATATATTAGGTTTCAATAAATATTTAAAGAGCTATAATCAGAAATTTGATTATTAAAGTATGATAATATATTTGAAAATATATACATTTTAAAAGTTTTTCAAGTATAACATTTTTTAATAATGTGTGTATATAATATTAAAAATATTAAATATTTATACATCTAATAGTTATAATATTATACAAATATTAATCAATATGTTATTTTATAATCTGTAGTTTGTATTTAAGAGTTTTGTGATTTTTTTAAAGTAGCAAACTTGGTAATTCTAAATTGTATACAATTTATTAGAAATAATAATAATAAAAAAAAAATTATTTTTAAGAAATATTTTTAACAGAAAAAAATTTAATTTAACTAATTTTGATAAAATTTAAATAATTTACTTAAAATTGTGGCACATACAATATATTCATCAGGGAAAAAATATAAAATATTTTTTTTTTTCTCTTAATTTAAAGTAATATTGTGTATGTGTAATAATTTTATAAATGTATTGTAACAATAATGTTACTTAATTTGTTTTGTTTACTTTTAGGTGAAGTTTATGAATGCATCAAGTGCAAAAAGACATTCGAGAAGAAAAAATATTACAAACGTCATATGAAAACATCTGCCCACCTAGCCAATCAAATCGATAATCCATTTTATTGTGCCCACTGTCCTAAAGTATTCTATTATAAATTTAATTTATCCTCTCACATGAAACAAGTACATTTTAAACAACACAATAATTATATTTGTAACTTGTGTGGTCGGAGCTTTCAGTACAGAAATAATTGTAAAAGACATGAAGATTCACATATGCAAGTTAGGAACTTTGTATGCGAATATTGTGGTGCCTGTTTTTATCGCAAACACGCTTTACTCGATCATCAAATTGCTATTCATAATGATGAAAAGAATTATGTGTGCAATGAATGCGGTAATAATTTTAAATTAAAATCTATATTAATAAGGCACATGAAAAATCATTCTGAAAGTAAAACATATGTATGCCATTGTAAACGTTTATTTAAATTTGCGTTTAATTTACGCCGTCATCAATTCAACATTCACAATCAAGTTTACAATAATTCGTCTAAGATTAAGCATTTTGTTGAGGACAATAGTCGTTCATCTCCAATAACAGTTATGAATGAAGAAAAGAAAATAGGAAGATTGAAGCAAAATAATATCAATTCCCTCTGTCTAGAAGACAGCGTATCATATTCTATGATGTCGTATCCTGATAACTTAGATCTGAGCAGCGTCGATATTGCAGAGAGTGTCCTTCAAGTAGCGTCTACATCAAACTACAAAATAGAATGTGAAGAAAACTCATGTTTCCCTGGAATTCATCCTCCAATTGAAACTTCTCTTGTGTGTAGCTTAAATGACAGTGAAGACTTGTCACCTAATTCTTCACAGCAATATTTATCAGATTATGTCGTACCTCATCAGTTTCCTTTTCTTAATATTTAAAGTATTATTATTATAATATACAGGTACCACCAATACAGGTGGAGCTCCTTTACTAATATTTATTTTTTTCGTTATACTTACTAATTAGTCTGATGAAGAGTTTTATATTTTAGATTATTGGAAAAGTGTTTTATTTCTAGAAACTAATAATTTTTTCTTCAATATTAATAAATGAGATTTGGATGGAGTGTAACATTATATAAATGTAAAACCAGTAAATTACACTCAATCGAGAGCAAAAGGTTTGTACAATTTTTCATCAGATTAATTAGCAAGAGAACAACAAAAAAAGAAATATTAGTAGAGGCCTCCTTAGATCCCCCAATTATTATGTATTAGAAAGAAATTATTATGTAATAAATGATTAATTTCTTAAAATATTAAAAATAAAAGAATAGTTCAAAATGTTACAGTACAATTTTTTTGTTTTAATTATTCGAATTATTATTTTATTAAAAGCTTTTGTTTTAATTTAAATAATAAAACTTTAAAACTTGAATAGTATTTAATTGTAAAGAGACAACAAATTTGATTAAAAATTTATTAAGGTATTTACAAGATAATTATAACTAACTACAAGGTAGTTACACAGAGTGTTTTAAAATAAATGAAGATACTAGTATAAGTGTACTCATTAGAGTGGCCTAATGATGATTTTTTAAATTGTTTCCCTATCTTCAAAACCTGGTTTTTTTTTAATGTTATAAGTGGAATATTATCTGCAATCTAAAAATTTATACTGGAATGATATTCCTTGCAGAATTCTCATAAAAATCATTGTGTTGCGTCGTTTTTGCGTTTTTCACGTTCGAGTCGCTAGAATAAAAACAATTTGTTGCGATACATACATTTGTGTGAAAACTCTGCAAAGTGTAAGTGGTGAAATTTATTTGTTGTCATTTAACATACCTGATTAATTATTATAATTTTTACATTGTCAACTAATACAAATAATAATATAAAGTAATAACAAAATTAGGGTTAACTGATTTTTAAATGATTAAATTTGTTGCCATAAATTTAAGTCATGTTTTAGGTGTTTAATAAATGATGGTGAATTTTATCCGTAGTGCCATGAAAGAAACTAACCATTTGTGTATTTATAAGGAAATTCCTATTTTTTGTTTNACATTTTAATTTGAACTTATTTTTTGTGTAACATTGTAAGTTTATCGTTAATATTGAAGTGCCCGAAAAATCACTCAGTTCAATACTTGGCATTGATAAACAGTTAAATTAAATTTATAATTTAAATTTTGAACATTGCATTAGACTGCTATTGAATTTGCAGATATGGTATTTAATTTGTGTGAGTATTAATTCAATTTAATTATTTAAATAATGTCACTTATTTGTTAGTTACAATATGGCCACCTCACTGTCCTGATTTTAACCAATGTGACATTTTTTATGGGATTTTATAAAAAAACGAGTTTATACCAAAGAAGTAGTAGGGATGAACTTTTGATTTGAATCAATGAAGTAGCAGACATCATCCATCAAACACTAAATTTGTTAGAAAGAACTCTGAGTTCATTACTCCGCCAAATGGAAAAGTGCATTCAAGTTAACAGGGGCCACATTAAACATATTTTGTAAATAAAAATTTAGTTTATAATTTAGATTAAAAACTTTTAAATTCCAACAATAGATTTCAAAATTAAGCAAAATTGTTGATAAATACTAATTTTTTTTTAAACAATAGAAGATGATTAAAAATTAATAAATTTTAAAAAATTAATAAATTTTAAAAAATTATCAGTAAACGATACTTAAATTAGACATACGTGATTTGGATATTATATGATTTCTATTTGCTCAAGTTGTTTTGTGATTTTTTTTAACCGGAAGTAGTCTAGATAGTACGTCAAAAGTAACTTTTTATGATATTTTTCGAAAAAAAAAATCACTTCTTAAACCAACAAACTTTTAATCATGAACATTTTTACTGCATAAAATATCAGAAATATATAATACACCGTTATGGTATGATGCATCTAATGAGAAAATTAAAGCAAAGATTTTCAGTTTAAGGACTGTCCTTGATAAAAAAATGGACAGAAAATAAAAGAACTTATGACAGAATTATAAAAAAAAATAGTGAATGGTTAAAAAAATGTCATATTACCCACAGAATACGGAAGTAATTTTATCAAATAATGTGAGTTGACCAAAAACAAATTTTAATGAGTGTGTGGAAAGAACCATAAAAAGAAATAAAGTGAAACATTTAATAAAATCGTTTATTTCCCCGAAACTCGTTTACATAGCCAACTAAGCGGATTAACTATTAAATATCTGGAAAGAGAAATGTTGGACAAATTTTTAAGCAGATTAGCTTGCTAATTTTGCTAAAATCACTTTTCAAACCACTGTGCGACACATTGATTTGTATGGGAATTTTGCAAGAAACATTATTCAGTACTAATTTGTAGATTGTAGATAATATTCCACTAATAACATTAAAAAAAACTCAAGTTTTGAAGATAGGGAAATATTAAAAAAAATCATCATTAGACCAGCTTATATTAGTGTCTTCATTTATTTCAAAAACACTCTGTATATCTTGTGTACCTCTGTGTACCTACCTTGTAGTTATAATTGTCTTATAAATACCTTATCAAATAAATAACTAATCAAATTTGTTTTCTATTTACAATTAAATAGTATTCAAGTTTTGAAGTTGTATTATTTAAATTAAAACAAAAGCTTCAATTTACTACATAATAATAAACACAAAATATAGCACCGAAACGACACAAAAATTGTGGTTTTTTTAAAATAAGTGTAGGTAGGAGGTTGGAGAAATGTTTCTTCAGCACCTCCCCCATTTTTTTCGGGTATAGCGGTCGTAGGATGGTCAAACAAATTCTGAAAACGATCAAACAACAAATTACAAACAAATTTATAGTGGTATTTAAAAACTTGAAATTTGAAAAAATGGGAGGCAGAGTAACGTACGTTTTGTCTCTACCTCCAACACCATCACCATGTCTGCCAGCACCTAATTTATTACCTGTTTTACCGAAACTTTTACCTTTATTAGCTGTCCTTCCAAGTTTTACGAATAAATTTAATCATCTCATTTTATATCGCAAAGCAGTGCCACGCCTCTTAATACCCACTCATTGGGTGATATTCCTTGCGGCGTTTCAAGCCGCAATTCACTTATGTACGTTAAACCTGTTCTTCTCGGTTTTCTATATAATGGGCAACGATACCCAGGCAAGGGTTTGGTTTCGACGGAATTTACAGCATATATATGGATTACAGGCATTTCTGTATAGATCACTTTACGAATTGCTTCTTGTAATTCTTTTTGCCGTTTATTCCAACCTGCTCCGTCAAGAAATAATCCATAACAAAAGACTCCTTCCTGTAATTTACAAGAAAAGGTTAAATGTTAGTATTTTTATTATTTCACACGAATTGCAATATTTAGGTAGGTATTCACTAATGGTCCTTTTTGAATATCATATTTTGTGTAAACGGTGACTTCATTTTCGAGTGCTATATTATCTAAAGTCCAACCATTGTGAGCCCTTGAAATTTCCTGTTTCATTGATGTTAAAAACCCTTGTGGATTAAAAAACCCAGTCATCCAAAATAGGATCGGCTTCTTGGTGAAAATCCATGAATCGATTTGCTTGTGACGTTTTAAACATTCTTCAAACCAAAAACCGATTGCCGAAGATGTCCATGAAATTGAGATCCAGTGGCCTGGTACTTTACCATCATAAATATTATTTGTGGTCTCTGTTAAATCCTGTAAACGATTATTATAAATTATAATAGCATAATTATTAAATAATTTTATTATATTAGATAATATATTAGTTATATTGAATGTATATTAATTTTTTCTCCTTTATCCTAACTATTTGAGGTCAGACACCCCGTCCTCATATGATTTCAATCTCATTGAATCACCTTTTTTTTTGGTCTTCATCGCCCCTATTTTCTTTTATTTATTTCCATTAAATTTTTTACTACTTCAGATTCCTCTCTTTTTATGACATACTCAAACCTAATCTATTTTTCATCGTTTTATCTACAATCTAAACTACGTTTAGAGTACCTCTATATACTCATTCCATACTTTTTTGTCATTTCACTCATTCCCCTAAACATTCTCATCCCTGCTACATTCATTTAATTCTGTGTTAGATTCTTCTATCTAGCGTCCTATAATCCAAATCATGCAATGGTCTGTTACCACATTTTTGTAGAACTTATTTTAAAATCTTATTGGAACGTTTTCCTGACACATTAAACACAACGCTTCTCTCTACTTTAATCTCTCTACATTTAATCCTTTGTTTGACATCCTTGTCAAAGCCACCGTTATTTTGTTTGATATAAATACAATAAAAGCTAAATCATCTGAAAATATGTACTATAGTACCTCCTCTCACCCACGCACATCATAGATGGGACAAATCGCTTAAGTCTTTTTTACAAATCTTCATAATGTTTAACAGAATTTTACACCGGTTTTCGGCCTAACACAACCTCATTTGTTACCTCTTACAACAGGTAGAGACACTGTGGGAGTATCCTGATTTGTTTTTATAAGCAGAGTATACTAGTATATACTGCTAATTCGTATTTTATTTTTATAATATTCTCTATAAACAATAATTTAAATAAATAAATTTAATGTAATAATATATTACCTCGTTCATTATGATTATTCCATCAATTGCCAACAAAAGGTCTTCAAGGGTATTCTTCACCAATGAAATAACCTTTTGAATACGATCGATTTCTTGGCCCAAAAATATGTTCATAGGCTGNGTTGGACCTATCTCTATTAATCTATAATTTGCGTAAGTATGAATAAGTACTATACAAAAACCACTGTTAATTTTATTGCAGCCAAATACCTTTCTCTTATTTTAAACATATCAAAAGTCGCCGGCAATCTTTCTAAAATGTCTGTAGCCATAGCGTACACTTTTTCTTCTCGAGTCGCTCCACCGCCACCACCGGAACCTTTTGGTTGAATTTGTTTTATGGTTTCAAACATTTCTTCAGCATTGTTGGTTTGATACCTTTACGAACCAATAAGGCACACAAATTAAATTATGATACATGTGATGTGTTGTAATTACGAATTTAAATACGGCATATTACGTAATGTCAGTATTGGGATGAAGTCCGCACGCTTGCGGTGGATCTTTCAATGGTAATTCTTCGATCGCGGCAAAATACTCCGCAAATACACTAAAACTCAAAACTGAGTATCCTTCGTAAAAACAAAATTTTTCGTTGAATATTTCTTCGTTTAACCAAAGTTGTGTTAAAATATTTAGTAATCGTCGATCGTAGTCGTCTGTTACACGGCCGCCATAGTGAACTTCCGCCAACATGTATCTATTATCAATAATAATTATTTAAAATTACGGATAGTTATATACAATTGATTTTGTGCAGATATTTCTATTAAATTTTTATATTTAATACTCAATAGTATTATTATTTTACCGTAGGGACGTCCAATTAATAACACCATTAGCGTCCATACCATCAATAATTTTTTGTAAATATAATGTCGAAGAAAACCAATCCGATGAGTTAAATTCATACGGTATGTTCCACCCGATGGGTCCAAATTTCCTGCGTTCTTGAACGACCGAATGAAGGAACGAAATTACGTATAATATTGGTCTATATGGTTTTAGATTAGAATAATTTAATATGTCTTCTCCCATATTATGATATGTTCTCATTAAACCTGCTCTTAGACCTTAAAATATACGAATTATAATTTATATTCACGGGAATTAAATTAAATTAATAGTTAGTAGTTTTTTTTATGCATCTTTAATAAAATGCATAAATAGATAAGCCATAAATAACTTTTTAGTTGATAAGGTAATTTGTATATAAATGCATACCTTCAGGCGGTTCATACGTATAATGAATAGATATTTGTAAAAGCGATATTGGGAATTTCGGGTGAACTTCTGTAGTAATAAATAGTCTAAAAATTGTTGGGCATTCATCGCCTATTGAATTTATAAATTCAAATGTCTCTTGTAAGAAATCCAAACATAGATGGCAGTTTTGGAGCAACACCCATCCGCCCTAAACGAATGCTTGTGAAAACTTTTGTTAAAAATACACGGAGTAATATTGTGCTACTTACATCGGTTGAACAATGTAACAACAACTTATTTGCGTGTACTTCTTGGCCTTGGCCCATAGATATAGAAAAAAATGGAATTTCTAATTTTTTTGCCGTTTTCTCTATAATACTACTAGGGTCGGAGCCCATGCTTAGAAAACATATTAGTGGCATAGTACTTCTGGATTCATTGTACATCCCTTCAACATCCAACGCTACAGATTCTACATACTGAGGTCCCAGGGATTCTTCTACGTAAGTATATGCTTGATTCAAAGTTCTGTCCGGACACCAGGCTCTTACTATTAATAGCCTTTGAAATTCATTACTTTTTCCGTATCCTGGAATCGGAGTTGTTTCAGGACTAGATTCTTCGTACCAGTTTTTCCACAAAATTTCGCTTCTTTCTACTTCTGACAATATTTCGACAAATGGTGTTATAGTTTTTAACATGCCTAAATTCATCCAACAAATATCGGTTATCCAACCAAAGGGTTTAGGGCTGATGGAATTCAAATCAACCGAAGCACCACCCTTTATGAAGTATTCAAACTCATTCATTGTTATGTTTCCTTTTTCCAAGTCTATTTTAAGTGCCATGAGAATTACAAATAGTGTTTTGTGTTTCTCATATAAACCACGGCACTTGTATTTGAATATTTGAAATGTTAAATATTCAATGACGTTACTTATTCTGCGTTGAATGACACCGGTATTAGGTTCGGAGTTTAATAATGATAAATCAAATTGTTCTAAGAATTGCTGTAAGGAGTTTTGGTACATTGGATTGACCAATCCCATTTCTACAATTAAAAAATACAAAACAGATCCTCGTGTGGCAATTTGACGATACTCTTCACGTACTAAACTTATCGATTCTTGAGTTTTACTTGCCACTTTTAGTTTTTCACTAACATCAAAAGCTGTATTTTTCGTTTTGTTTAATGTTAGTAATACTGTTTCGTCATCCACTAAAGAACCTTTCACAGTTGTTAGTTTTACTAAAAGGTCAAGTTCCAATTCTTGCATTTTACGTTTTTGTGAAGTTACTTCGGCGATTAATTCTATGCGCTGCTGTTCTAATTCTTTTTTCTCTGTTTCAATCACCCTGCTTAGTAATTGATCTTCTAGACCTTTAATAGTAACTGTGAAATCGATGATTACACATCTCGCGTAAAGCTCTGGTGGAAATGACGGATTTCCAAGTTTTGAGGTGAGGTATAGACGGAAATCATCACTTATATCAACTTCTTTATCTCCTAATAATACTTTAAAAAATCTGCCGACTTTGTACACATTTTTTTCCAGTATGTTGTTCACTACTGGATCAACATCTTGTAGTACATCTTGGATTAGTAATGGCCTTCCTAATGATAAACAATCTTCAAGATGAGTTCGAAAGTATTTATCATCAAATGAAGTAACTAATAAATTATTGATTGCTTCCTTATTTTTGATCCAAGCTATTCCTTGGCTCTGTGGATCAATCATAATTGGATATTTGGATGATTTTGTAACAATTATACCATTTTGAGTTGACAGTTCGTCATTTGGTAATCCTTGAAGATTCCATTCACTAATTGTTGGAGGATCAACCAATTTTTCAGTTACACTTAGATTTGGAAAATGTGGAATATTCTTCGCAACCAAACTATCATATATTGATTGCCTTATCTTGTTTCTATATTCTTGATTAAATGGCCCAGAATAAGATAGGAATGCCGTTAGTACAACAACATCTCCAAGTAAATTGTTGATTTCTAAATTAAACCCTGCCAATTGTTGTGTCCATCTAGTTCTTTCTCCTTCTAAACCTTCAATAAGCGCTGTTGCTGAATCCATTTTATTTCTACATGTATCAGCTTCAGCTTCAATTAAATTTTGTGCTTGTAAAGCTCCATTTAACTTTCGTTTTGCTTCTAATAACTGCTTAGTCTTTTCAGAAGCAATAGCTTCCGCAGCTTTTAATTGCTCTTTGGCTTGGCTGTGTTTGCCTTCTTGTATAGCTAAATTAGCTTTCAACGGAAGTACCTCTTTATTTACATTATAAAAATCTGACATTGCTAATGTCCAACTAAGAAGACCAGCAACATTTCCACAGGCTATCTTAGCCTTATCATACGAGTAGCCCGAGTAGGTGAAATAAGGTGTTAACAAATCGATTATTTCTCCGCAAATTTGATCTTTTGGAAAATTTTGTAAATTGAATAAAAACCGCGTATCAGACATCAACTATGTATAAATATAAAAAAACAAATAAAATTAGAGATTACATAAATTAAAATATAAATTATCGTTTAATTAATTAAGTACTTTTAATGATTCAGCCCAATTGGGTTCCAAAAATAATTTCTCAGTATCTGGTTTCACTTTCAAAACTTTACGTTTGAAAAATATTAGTACGGAGTCCATAATCAATGTAATCAGATAAGGAGGCTTGCCTAATTTTCGGACTGTAGCTATGTCGGTTGAATTTATCGTCTAAAAATATATTTTTACAAGTCAATTATTGTTTTTTGTATTATTTTCAAATATTATCAGTCAATATTTAAATCAAATTATTTGTGCTTCATACATACGTCAAGTTAAAAAATAATAAACCCACTTAATAGCCTTAAAAATATATAACATATATTGGTATACCAATAAAGCTGCTTCAGCAGCATCTAAAGCTGGTTGAGCTTTAGCAAGTTTAACTTCGGCTACTTGTTTTTCTTTTGCGATCCCTTTGAGCAATACTTCGGCCCGATTTTTCACAACAGCTACTTCTGCTCTGCTTTTTTCCGCTTCAGTCACCACTAAATTAACTTTCGTGGTAACCTGTAAGCCAATCCAATTAATGTATTTGTAATAATTATAATAGAAAGAAGCGGACTTCTAATATTTAGTAAAATTATATCGTATTACAATCAGAGATACACTCGGGGGCATTATGCTTAAATTCCTAGTGTCTAATTAAAAAGAGTCAGATAATCCAGCCTGGGGGTTTAATTTAATATGGGCCATTGATCCAGCATTTAAGTTAATAAACAAGTGCTGGTATGTATAGTTCTGATCAAATGGGCAACATAATATAGCATAATATAGTATTACATAACAGTTTAACTTATAAATTATTTATGTTATCTATAAGGAACTTATGGAAGTTCTAAATTTTATTTTTGCATAATCAATATTTATTAGTTTCATTATAATGCGAAGTTTTATGAAAATCAATTTTTTTAATTATATTATGTCGGTATGTTCATATTGGTGTTATCAGTTAACATTGTACTGATAATAACAAAATATTTAAATAAAAACAATTATAGTGGTGTATAATATTTTATTTTCTGGCCTTTTTTTGTTTTTTGTTATTGACGTGTTGTTTATTTATTTCACTTAAAAGTTCGAAATGATGAGTGTTGACATTTAAATGGATCACCCGGTAGATAAATCCTACACAGTTAGATTTTTTTTAGAGTAAAACTACCTAGAAATTTGACGTAGCGTACAAACGCAGTGTAGTCGATAATTGTAGAACAATAGGAATAGTTAAACAAAACTTATTCCTGTTTTTAATATTTACTAATTCCAACAAATTTTCAAGTATAACTTGTTTTTGAAAACGGTAACGTATACAAAATTGGTCGTCACTATGTAATTTAAATGGATTAAAACATTACGAAGATACCTTCTCGGTATATAATTATTATCATTATCGCCTATATAAATTTCAATATACTCCAAATAGTTCACAAAATTTAATAAATCATCCATACTAACGACTAGACAGTAGATATATGTTAATTTAAATATATTAATTACAATTTGGTATTATAGATAGTTGTTGAGTGAAAACTTCGGACTTTGCTGTAGCATTATGGTGGGCTGAACACAAATGTATCACATAAGGTTTATGTGATGGAAATCGATAATATAACTTTGTGTTCCATTGGCTTAATAAGCTAATCCTTATAAAAATGACTATGCAATGGGAAATTGTTGTCAATCATATAACTGTCAATTACAGTACTATGGGTTACATAAATTGCTTGTGCACACCATTGTCGGAATTTTAAAATGTGATGTAAAACTTGAAATATGTGTTAAATATTATTTTAATCTACTACTGTAATCCCTTCCCCAAATTTTTCTTTTATTATTATTGTTTTTATTATTCTTATTTATCAGTGAGACAAATTCAATCATTTATGTATTTCCCGTAGGATTCATAAAAAAAAAAAAAAATGCATTTAGGAGAGCTATACCCATCCACTGGTACATATGGGAAAGTGGAGGTATTATCTTTTTAGTACATACCTCTGTGCTGGCAGCTGTCGCAATAACGATTTCTTTTTCCTTTTCTACTAAATCGATTTTCAATACTTCTACTTGTACTGAAGCATCTGCAAGTTTTTCCAGCCCTAATATTCTTTGACCTTTCATTATCTCAATTTCTTTTTTATAGCCAACATACAATACTTTATAACCATCCACAAATGACAGGAATGATTTTGGCGTGACATATACTTGTCGACGAAATCTGGAAAATATTACGTTAATATATAACTATATATTATCTCTTCATAACGTTAATACTATTTTAATCTATATTAAGTTATTTAAAAAACAAAAATATAATGTAGCTTGTTTATTTTTTTTTTTAAACGTGAAATTTAAAGAAAAGGGACAAGGAATATTATTGAAAAATTCACAAAAGTTCTGTGTATCTACTTGAAATGTATGCACATAATTAATAAAAACGATTACCGAACACTGTCAAAAACTAAAAAAAACAATAGTATTTATTTATTTTAATAATTTTGTGGGAAACAATCATATGGGTCCACAACTATTTGATATTTCATACTGTCATATCTACCTAACATTTTATGATTAATTTAAAATGTTTAACTTACAAAATTAACATTAAACATAGGTACCTTTGGAAATAAGTGACGCAGTCTTTTGAAACATTTTCATGTATTTCTCCTAATAACTCTATCAGAGATAATTTTCCTTTTTCTGTACTAACCACCGAGAAATTGTGTAAGAAATGTCCAGAAACGGCTTGAAGTGCATCCTGTGGCCACGCTGTGTACCAATCAATTATACTGCCAGATATAAGACCAGGGAACTTTAATGACCGTAGTCGAAAACTTTCACCAATCTTTTTAACCAACAAAATGAGATATTAAATATATTATATTAATTGAATTCTAATTAATATTATTTTTACCGGCGAAAAACATAAAACTAAATGTAAATTATTCATAGCTTGTTTGATGAAAAATTCATATAAGTTTTCCATAGTTATTATGCCTTTAGGGTTTTTCTTTTTGAAACTTGGAGTTAAATTATTTAGCATTTCTTCTAGTTCATCTTTTGGGAACAAGTTAGCGACTTCTCCGGAACTTAATATATTGTTAATATATTCTAGAAAAGCTTCTTCTTTTATATCATTATCCGTAAAAACGAATGCAGTTTTTGAACCATTAAATCCGGCATATTTATATAGTATTCTTATATCATCTAAGAAATTGTTTAAACCGTAGGTCCTTAAAAATAATTCAAAATATTTTGTTAAAACTGTGTTAAGTGAATGTGAATGTTAAATAAAACACAATGTTCATCCATAAATAAATAAATATTTTAATACCTAGTAAGGGTAATTGTATGCTGTATATATTTAGCTATAAAAGAAGCTAAAGTGGTTACTGATTTTCTACCAGAACCACCAATACCAACTAGAAGAGCATTTCCTCGTGGAATTCTTAAAATTCTAGAAATAATTATAATATGACGAACACAATCTTCAAACAAGACTAAGTCCATAAAAGTACCATTTGAAACTTCATTCATTTGTTGCATGTACATAAATATTCTTGATTTTAATACGTCATAACTAGAATATAAATTTTTTTAAATCAAAATTATAACATTACACATATATTTAGACATTATATTAGTAAATATAATTTAAGGGGAAAAAAATAATTTTAGTAAATACTAAATAAATATTTTGATTTTGATATTATTTTAAAATTACTTTATAAGAGTAATTTATTTAATCATATTTATTGACTTCTAATATGGTACCTTTTTGAAAGTCATTGTACTTAATTTTAATGAATAGGATTAAAATTGAGCTCATACTTTTCAACGTATTCATATATTTTAGGAACTTCTGATTCAAAATCTTCTGGTTCATTTCCAGTTGCCTCTACTTCATCACGCATAAAATCTGCAAACACAATTTTTCTCATATCTTCTGGAAACATTTGAAATTCTTTAGGTGTCAAAAACTCTTTCGCTGTATTTTCGACAGTTTCGATAAACCATTGTTTATCCGAAATATTAGTCAATTTATCATATATCACACGCTGTATCTCATTGCACCATAAGTGTATTAACATATGCACGTTTTTACATTCTTCTGTTTGTATTTGTAACATTCCTTCCCAAATTCGAGATAAATCACGTAGATTAAACACGTAATGGAAATTGGCAGGAGTAGGTAATAATTTCTGTTTGATTTTTTGCCATACAAATCGAGTTAATGGCATTAATTTTGGCACAAACTGAACTATAACTTCGTTAAAACGTTCTATACAGAAATAACCACATCCTAAAGCGCCAAATATTTTGTCCATAGACGTATCTGATGGCAGTGTACAATTGAAAATACAGAATTGTCTCTTTAGTCTTGGTGGTATGTCATTTCGGCCACCTCCTGGATGAATCATCGCCGCTAACATATTAACTCCCACGATATTTACAAAATCTCCAGGTTTTATTAGCGAATAAAAACCTTTACATTCCAAGAGCTGTCGTGTTATTTCATTTGTAATCTAATAAGAATATTAATTAATAATAATACAAATTAACCTTCATTAAACATATCTATTAGTCATTGCTATAGAACGTCTAAAAAATTATCAAAAATTAATAATAAATAAATAATTATATTTTTACTTGATCTCCCCAGTCATTAATGATCGGCATGTTTATATCATCAATGAATATTGACATCTTACGATTACCCGGAGGACCATATGTAGTACCAAATCGTTTTTCCATAGAACCTTCAACCGTATTCTAAATAAATGTTTACCAATTTATTAACGGTTGTAATAACTTTTATACAAATTGCTTTTTTTATTTTTTTACTTGAAACATATCCGGAGTGGTAGCCGAAGAAAAATTGAGCATTTTACTGATTCTCTCTTCCGGATCAAATTCTGCCATAAAACTTTTAATCATTACTGTTTTAGCTGTACCTTGTTCGCCAATTAAGAGAACATTTTTATCTTGATTCGCAATCAACGATATCAAAAACATTGCTCGAACATTATCCAGGTTAGGCACTAATATATCGCCATAATTTGGAATATAGTCACTTGGATATGTATATTCATCTACTAATGTTCCCCAATGTTGCCAACCACCGTCTTTTGAAATGGTATACTCGTAAATCGATTCTTCTCCCTAATAATAATTAATAGTTTCGTTATAATTATTTTAAAACAAACGAAATATTTGTCTTGGTATTCTTTTATTTATAAAAAATCACGGAATCCTCAGAAAATTTATTAGTTACGTAAATAACTTTATATTGCAGTAAAATAGCTAGTAGCTAGCTGTTTCCAGGATAATTTGTATCTAGGGGTCTTTAAATGATATAGTAGAGTTAATCAGCATATAAATAACATATTATATCCTGGATGCCAAGATGTGCATATTTTTTAGGGATGCAATAAATTCCTTTTAAAACTAGCCCTGGATTTAATAATAATAATAATAATAATTTATTGGCCAAAAAGAAAGTACAATTTTTCAGTAATTAATGTTTATATATATATATAACATGGTTAGATGGCCCATCTCACCACTGAGGATAACCTCTTATCGGTGTTGATGGAGTACTATTAATAGCTAAGTTTGTATACATTTAAAAATTTTATCATATTTTAGATAATTTGTAAAAAAAAAAAATCATATTTACTTCAATAACTATGACTATACTTCAAAAACATAAATAGACATACCTATAGAACTAATTATTAATTAGAACTATAGTTACTAAAGCATAAATTGCAATAATTAAATGTAATATAATAAAGTACATAAAAAGTGGAGTAGATAAATAAATAGATAAAGAGACTACATTATATAGGTACACTGTTATATTACAAAGGGTATAGATCACTAGTATTATTTAACAACCATAATTTAATAGAGTGTTTATATATTTTATAAGGCGAACTGTTAATGATTTGCAGTGGAATGTCCTTTAATAATCTCAAACCCACTTACGAAAAACATCGACTAGTAGTAGTAGACGAACAGTAGGTATTTCTAAGTTGGTTTTTTGACGTGTGTTATAGTGTCTAGGTTTAAACTCGATTAGATTAAATTTGTAAGTGTAATATAGGGCATTTCTGTAGAATAGTTGTTGCGTTGTAAAAACTTTAAATTCAGTAAGCAGATCTGTAGTTGGATATGTTTTTCGTTTACTTAAAATTATTTTAATTATGCTTTTTTGAGCTCTGAATATTTTATTGCTTCTTATAATACCTAAGCCACCCCAGGCGGTTATTCCGTATTGTATAATAGATTGTGTCATGGCAAAGTATAATAAACGTAGAGCTTGGTTATTTAGGAATTTTCTTGCGTTAACAACCATAATTTAATAGAGTGTTTATTTATTTTATAAGACGAACTGTTAATGATTTACAGTGGAATGTCGTTTAATAATCTCAAACCCACTTGCGAAAAACATCGACTAGATTTCGATATACGATCAGTAGGTATTTCTAAGTTGGTTTTTTGACGTGTGTTATAGTGTCTAGGTTTAAACTCGATTGGATTAAATTTGTATGTGTAATATAGGGCATTTCTGTAGAATAGTTGTTGCGTTGTAAAAACTTTAAATTCAGTAAACAGATCTTTAGTTGGATATGTTTTTCGTTTACTTAAAATTATTTTTAGCCACCCCAATTCCGTATTGTATAATAGATTGTGTCATGGCAAAGTATAATAAAAGTAGAGCTTGGTTATTTAGGAATTTTCTTGCGTTAATGAACAGATAGTGCATTTTCCGTAGTTTCATTATTGTTAATATATTGTATTATATTTACCTTAAGTGATGGTATATTGATTTCTCCTTTCAAATCAGTTCTGATAAATTCCTCGAGCGCTCGTCTATCGATCGATTCTAACACAGCAGCAATACTCCACATTATTGCAAAAGTATATAAACGTGATAAAACGATTTCTTCCAAATCTATTTAATATTAAATTGTATTTCCATTAAAATTTAACTCAATATTTTAATTTTAATTAGATCGAGAAATATTCACTTTGAGGAGAAATTTTCAACAGTCCGTCAAGTATATCACATGTTTGACGAATGTAATTTGCTTCGCATAAAACCATCTTTGGAGTAAATTTGGATTGAAGCATTGTTAAACATCGTTGAAAGGAACGATTGAAAAATTTCTTAAAACAATTGTATTCGTGACTAGATTTTGTTTTCGCCCATCCCTAAAATTTAATCAATTTTATGGTTTCGGTTAACTTTTAATGTTGTCAATTTTACATTAAATTATTGTTGCTTAATAAATCAAAACATTATATAGGAACTCAAATAATTGCATAAATTATAATGATATAATATTATGTATACCATACTATAGGTAATTAATATAGGTACAATTAACAAATTATGTTATTAATATTTCTTTATCATTGTATATAACTCGGTTATTATTTTGATATAAACTAATATTAGTTTTTATACTATAGATATAAGAAAAAAATTAACAAATAACCTATATGCTTATAATTAGATAAAAATAAAGAATAAAAGTTTAAAGATATATTTTTAATATTTATGATACCTAATACGGTTCGTGTGTACAGTTTGTTTTGAGGAGTAAACCATTGCTAATTCAATATTATTATAATAATAGGCATAATGTATCTTAAGTAATATCCCTAGTAATTGTACAAATAGCGTATTGTTTAAGAAAAATAACATAATGTCATATTCACTTCAAACATCACTTTCCACGGCAACACAGTAGATGAGAAATATGTCATTCCCATTCTAGATATAGTAGCCGGGGAAGCATTATCCACGTTATCTGGCTCGAAAGACAGTTTTGCATTAGGGGCCATAACGATTCTGTCACCGTTTGCTAATGTAAGTGTTTTATTGTCATCTAAAACGGAGTTTAAATTTTCAATCCACACAGCGTCTACAGGACCGTCCAAAACAATCCAACAGTATTCACTTGAATTAAGCTAAATTAATTACATATATTAATATTTTCAATACCTACTACATAAATATGTTATTATAATTTGAAAAAAAAAAATCGAATAAAAAAATACTTTTAACGTTCTTCTCCATAATGTGGAAAATATACCATCGGTCCAATCATTAGTGGCAACATCCAGCTTACCAAACATTTGGGAGGCTGTAATGGCTTTTGGATTCATCCTATATTCAAAATGTTTTAGACCAGTTTTGGTCAAAGACGATAAAAGACAATGAATAGCGGCAGTCTTGCCAGACCCCGTGGGTCCTAATATCATTAACCCGTGACGAACAACTGATGTTTCGTAAATCTATAAATATACATAAGCATGATGATATTTCAAAAATTGTTAGCATAAAAGTTAATATTTTTTTACTTGAATAATTTTTAAATTCCAAACTGGATGATTAACAAATAATTTCTCAGAACAAGTCGCTGTTATTGCAGCTTGCAAATCTTTATACGTTGTAATAGTCGATTTCATGCCGACAAATAAATCCTCAATCAAAGACAAAAATATTGTTTCGTCTTGATCAATTAACTTTGAAACGTTCATACCCTTCAATACCCTCATAAGTATAGTTTCTTCGGATTCGTTTGGATTACTTCTTCTTTGTGTACCGAGTGTACGTAAAACGGCCAATATATTTCGTAAACCAAAGTCATAATGAACTTGTTTACTCAATTGTTCTTCACATAATTGGTACAACATAAAGAATTTTCTTGACAATACTAAATTGCTTTTAAATCCACATGCCGCTAGCTTTACTCGTATTATGAGCTAAAAATAAAATGTGTAGCATAAATATTTTAATAATAAATCAGACTTGGTTTTAAAATTAATTATGAAAATATGTTTAATGGTACATGGTAAATTAGTATATGTAGTTGAAAAAAAACAAATGTCCGTGAGCAGTAGAGTTCCGGTCACTACAGTCGAATTCCTATCCCCCTCACATATTTTTTATTAGATAAATATTTACTGTAAAACAATAAACAACTGAATAATTAATTAATATATACTACGTCTCAAGAAATAGTAGGCACGGGGCTATAATACAATACATTTAGGATGATCCATTTAATGTAGCCACTTGATATTTAAAAAAATATTGACTTTATTCAATGCCTTTTTTTTGAAAATTTAAGAAACAATTAGCTCTCTAAAATGTCTCATTCATATTATTTTTTTGTCCCTCTTATTTTTGAAGGTAAACGATTACCTATTGATTTATACCTTTATGATATTTTTGATGTTTAAATAGCAACCTATTTTAAAAATTCCATAAATAGATGAAGTATTAGCTTAAATTAATGATGGTGTTGATTTCTGTCTATTTGTTGACAAGGTATTCCACTTTTAAGTATGGATAGGGAAGAGTAGTGGAGTACTATCAAAATGTTACGTGCCGCGTTGCCATATAAATGATACTGCGTTATACATCTTGTCAACGTGGTGACATAAATAAAAAATGTCAACATCAACAATTTGTTTAAATTAATTCTTAATCTATTTATCGAAATGTTTGTAATGGTTCTATTTGAAAATACCTAATTTTGGGGATATTCGTTTAGCCACCAAAAATAAGGATGACAACATAAATTTTTAATTATTTTAAAATTAATGTACTAATAATGTACTGCTCCTTGTTTTTCAAACTGTCAAAAAAAAAACAAAAATTGAAGAGAAGTCAATACTTTTCGAGATATTAATTTTAGCATTTATTACTCAATTTTATTACTGAAGCTTCAATTCGGGGATCTATAAAGGTGTTCAAAGTTAAAAATCATTCTCGACTTGCAACATCACAGTGAAAATCATATTGATATTTAACCCGCTATTTCGTTTAGAGGGAGCTGCTAAAAGTATCCAAAAGGACCGAGAAAAACATAAATATATACATACAATACAGTGCAATAGTCTTTTTTTTCGAGGAAAATTCGACAAAATGTATTATTGTATACGTGTAAAATACGTTAGAAACTATTTTAATGTCACTGTAGAAGTTAAATATTTTAAACATTTTTTTTAATTTGTAAAATATAGAAATAAAATAAAACATAATTACGAGTCGATCGGGCACCATCATAGCGACACTTCTAAAGAGTACTTTTAAATTTTCTGGTAGTTCTTGCCGGCCAGCATACCCGGGATTCATAGTTAAAAAGATTGCGAATTCTGGATTCATCGGGACGCTCTCCCCATCACTAGTAAATAATTATTTAATTAATACATTGAAGTTAACAAACGTTGTTATCATAAATAAATACGTCATAATAAATGTTTCTTTGAGGTCTCTACGAGCACAAAATACGGTGTATATTTGCTGAGCAGCTACTGAAAGTACGGGTAACTCAATCCTGTTAAACTCGTCAAAACAACCCCATGTTCCGGAGTGTACTAAGCCTTTGAAAATACGACCTAGTCCTCGGAAGTCCATTTGATCCGAGCAATTAAATACTACGACATATTTTCCGAGAGATTTTCCCATATCTTTTGTGGTTTCTGTTTTTCCAGTACCCGCTGGACCAGCCGGTGCTCCACCCATATTCATTCCTATAATACAATTTAAATGTTACCATATTACCTAATTAACTACTTGGCCCATATTTTATAATAAATTCACTCATGTAAAATATATTTCTTAATTTATATCACTTACCAACAGCTTGGGCCAATGTAATAAAAGTTCGATCAGTAAGTGGTGTGATTACAAGCCTATCTGAACATCCCATAAATTCGTTTTGGTATTCAAACAGAACATCTGTGATTTCAACTTCGCAATGATCTGTTTCTTTGTTATGATAAAAACGTTCTTGTTTCAACCATTCAAAATCCGTTGTGGTTTTAACTTTCATACGAAATAATGTTTCAAAAATATCCCTATAATATGTAAGTATGTATGTATTATATTACTATGTATTTACGAGCTTTCACAATACATTGTTTTTATTTAAGATTCTGATCAGATTAAGGAAACTTAATTTTTCAAGACACCTAGTCAAAATCGTGTAAAGTTTATTTAGTAAATTAATCAATAGAATTGAATTTAATAAATTCAATTCAATTCAATAAAAAGGCATACCTTAATAATAATACCGAACTTCAAATATATAGAAAATAATATTAACTATCGTTGCTTTTAATAATAATTAAAAAATTACACCCAACAATTATTTTAATCTCACTTTGCCCGTAATTATATTTTAATAGTAAGTTGTCTACCTCTGATGGACATGTATTGTGATTAAAGTTTCGTATCTCAGTCTTTCCATTTTAGTTAAATTTTTTGTCGTCGTATCAATAAGGACGTTTAGAAGCGTTAGAAAATAAGCATTAGTTTGCTTCATAATAGTTTTCTTTATAACCGCGTTTTTAATCGCGTTTTCTGAATAATATGTCCATAATATTTGAATACCCACAAGTCCCACCTGGAAATATATATTCGAATTAATAAAAAATTATATTATATTATACTCGTATATATATATTTAAACTATCATCATCCTACTTGTGATGGAAATGTGTCAACCATTGTTAAAAGGGAAAACGTTGGGTCTTCTGTTATATAACTTGCCACGTTTGACAAAATTGTATTTACGGAATGTTTTGCTTCGTTGTGCAGTGTGTTCAGCCAAATTTCAACTCCTCCATTGCATAGAACTGGATGTTCCAATTGAATGCCTTCACCCTCTTTAGATACTATCCACAACGCTTTGTCATATTCAGTCGGGCTATATGTCAATTTGGCAATATTGTCAAAAAGACTTAATAAATGTGGTGTTATTGAATGGGAATTTGATGATTGACCAAGAATTTCTAAAAGCGATGGATCCGAGATGAAATAAAATCTTGGAAATACATATCTCTTTTGATCCAAGTATCTAATAATAAATTAAAAATTATTTAGCATAACAAATAATTGTTAAATATTATTATTTCTACAGTTGTCTATGAATATTTAAATTTTAATTAATTTAAAATAATAAAGTAAATGTTCCTCTCGCTATTTTTAATTAATACGTTATAGTGAAAACTATTCGTATTACAATAATGTGACAATTTATATTTTGTAATACCCTGCTAAGGATTTCTGACATGATTCCAACTGTTCAAACATATATGGTAGTAAAATTTCCATTGACTCGTCACAAATTTTAATAATAATCTCAAGAAATCGAGCTTTATGCATAATTTCCGTCCACAACTTATCAATGGCCTAAACAAAAATCAATGTAAACAAACTATGCAGATAAAATGTCAATAAATCTTTACAAGAAAACGTTTTGTTTCTTGTGGTAATTGTTTTGATATGTCCCCTCCAATAAAAACAACTTCTAAATACATCCAAAGGTTTTGCACAAGTACCCAATTTTCCAATACTTGACTGGTTCTTGCAAAAATTTTAACCCACTCATTAATTTCTGTTTTGAATGAAGCATTATACCTAAATCAAACCAAAATAATAAATTGTATTTTACAGAAAAACCGCATGTTATTAGAAACTATTTAACTAATTTACATATAAGCACTATAGTTTTTTTTTCAATTTGTATTTCTGAGTTGATTATAATAATCATATTAAAATACTTATACGGTATAATATAACTCTTATGTATAATTTATCACTCAATAAATTAATGTTGCAAGTAGTGTTAGCCTAATATAACATCTTACCTATTGGATGCTAATGAACTCATTATCATTTGACTATCTTCCAATAAAGCTACGACCTCTCCTAGTTCTGCACTTTTTACAAGTAATAATCCTCGGTTTTTGAATGTGGTCAATTCGATTTTTATAGTTGACCAATCTGATATAATTTGACGTAATTTTGCTTCAATATCAATTTCTTTAATAGCCGTCTGGCATATATCTTCCAACTCTTCTTTATATTCTAATAAAGGAGCATTTAAAATAACCCTGAGAGTACAATCGCTATCATTTATTGGGAATTGCGTTTTGGTTAAGTTTTCTATCATGGTCCAATGCCTTGGTTTCAATGGATTTTTAAACATTCCCTCGATCAGAGGCATTTTTTCCATCCATTCGTCGATATTGGTTTTCAATTCTAAATATGTTGGCCATAGCTTCAAACCCGCTGGCAGTTTACGACACCTGTTGTCGCAATCCACTAAAGCCTCTATTATTTCGTCTATGGGTAAACGGAGACATTGGATGTTTAACCATGTGTCAACATAACGATTGAACTTGTTATAAATATCATAAAGTCTTTTGAGGAAGTTAAAAACTTGTCTTTTTTGAGCAATTGAAGGAAAATCAGTTATTACTTTTCCCAATAACAATTCTTCACCGTTTTGGTAAAGTACCGATAATTTAACCAATTCTTCAAAACGGTCACTAAATAGTAAAACCCTAAATAATGGAATAGTTAAAATAAATGTATTGATAAATTAAATATACAACAATAATAAAAATTAAAAAATTAAAAAATGATTAATTATACTATACCTCTCAGTGGCTTCAGCGGGTGATAACCCTGAGACCATTGGACCTCTTTCTTCAAATTGTTTATTAAAAACAATAACGTCTTTTTTCAATTGCTTAATCCCGTCTTTCATCTCTTTTGATAATATAACCGATTGACTCAAAAGATTTTTTGTCGCTTCACATTTCTAAAAACAAATGTATTGTAATGTATATAAATATATATATTATATATATTATATATTGAAACTAAGTTTTAATTTTATTNTAAATAATTGTCAGTCACATATTTACTGAGTTCCGTAAGTTTGGATGTTTTCAATATACTCTCTGTGAATAACATTTTCCAATGTTTAATGTGTTCGTTTAAGTATTCTTTGAATTCGTCTGAAAAAAAAAAATCCAAATTAACATGCAATGTTATATTCAGTGTTTATTTTAGAAGAGTGACTGGGTGCGAGGTATTAAGTCCTTGTAAAAAAATGTATACCACCCCCTGAAAATGTATAATATTACTACGTAAAGTACATGAGATATAAGTTGTGAGCAAATATTGTTGACAAAAAAATTAAAAAATAGTGTGTTATATAAATAACCGCATTTTAACGAGATACAAAAGAAGGTCATCATTGAGCGTATTTTTTTAATTTTTCTAAATGTTAAAATTCCTAGATTCGGCTTTGCATGTGGTATAACCCCTTGAAAATGTACGATACCCCCTCGGGGGATGAAGGTCTGAAATGAAACTGGTTATATTAGATACAATATGTTGTATACTTCAAATTGAATTACCTAATTCAATGTCCAAAGGTCCGATCACTATACTGTGGGGTTCTTCATTAATCTCTTTGGATTTTTTTTCCATGTAAATAAATTCATTTCGAACATCGGTTAGCTCGCTTTTTATTTTCAAAAATGCATTTATTTTATCAATCTTTTTCGATTCGTCCATCCATATGTTTTGATACTTCGTTTGAAATTTCCTATAGAGATTTCGAAGATCCATTTGTATTGGCTTAGTTAAGTTGGATATTCCTTTTACAGCGATTATAACTTCATTTTTCTTTGATATGGTGGTTTTATATGCATAATCACCGCTCTGTTTTTATTGAAATAATTAAACATATATTATAATTAAACATATCTAATATTATATAATGTAATGCTGTAATATAAAAATAATTTTCAATATACTCACGCGCTGATGAAAGCCCCAGCGTACTATTTTCGTTGTCGATTTCCGTATATCTAACGTCACATCTTTAATACATTTTTCAATCTGATGCCATGATGGTTCCGTTGAAAGTTTAGAATCATTTAGAATTAACTTGGTTTTAATTATTGGCGATGATTGTGAATGTTTTTTACGTCTGCAATTTAAATTGTGTATTATTGATTGTATTTGTTAATTAAAATGAAAGTCTGCTCTTACTCTAACTTCGTCGCCAATGCATTAAAAGAGTTGATTTTTATATTAATTAATGCTTGTGTGTAATAAAAGTTATAATAACGAAATGCGATCATACACCATTCATCGACTTGTTTACTTGTGGGATGGTCTACTGGATGTATAATATCATCTACACACAAAATTATGTAGTTACTAACGAGAAATACAATTGTGTATGCTTACTTATACAAATATAAAATGTTTGTACGTATATAAACATCAATGAGTATAAATGTACCTTCGATATGAACTTCACCGTCAGTTTTCGTAGTTTCCATTAAGGCTCTGTACTCATTAAAATAATCATATATTTCATCTTCACTTTTCAAATGGTATTTATCATTTATACGGTAAAGAAAAAGTTTTATTATATCGTTAAATTTTGTTTCTAAGGCTATCGATTTTTTAATGATTTCATTCACTGTATTTTGTAAATGTACATTATTTTCTCTTTCAAATTCGTGAGGCCATATTGCTTCATTTGGTAATTTGAGTAAATTCAGAAAATTCATATTCTTAATATCTTTGCATAAAGCATAATCCAAATCAACTATCTAAATTTATATATTTTGACCATAGATTAAACATACGTAAATATATTTGTATTTATTAAAACATATCGATGGAAAGATACTATCTCAATAGAAAATTAAATAATTGAAAACTGCACGGTAATAGAGTGCTTTATATCAATTCGTAAATTTTACAGTATCGCATAAAAAAAAAAAAAAAAACAACAGTCCTTCGATAATAGTGCAGCCACTATTATAGGTAATTTAATGTAAATCTATAGGCATCGATTAAAGAAAATACGGTTCTGAGCGGAGTTGATAGTGTTGCCTTGTTAACAATACATAAATCATATTATAATAAAATAATTAAAATATATGCATTTATATATCTTCTATAATATTTATTTAATATTGTACCTATTTTCCAGTCATTCCTACGTTTTTTCTAGTTTTTCACATTTTTTTGAAAAAACATCTGGAAATATCAAAAAATGACGGCCTTAAAGTACCTCCCTACTGCTATTTCCTTTTAGAAACAGTGCTATCATTGCAAATCGGAGCAAAATTGCTGGTAGAAACGTTGTCCACAGAAAAAATAAATAAACAACATTGTAAAACCAATACATTCCTCGCTCCGCTCAGAATCTAAAATAGATTATATTATATTTTTTTAATGTTTTAACTGTGTGTTGCACGTTTTTAATTTTATGTTCATAGCACATTTTGTTAATTTTAATCGTCGACGACTGTCGGTTTTTACGTTTATACACGATGATTATTTGCGTCAAGTCCATTTAAACTTTAAAAATATATGAAGATAGCTTCGTAGCACGTTTTTCCGCAAAAAAAAAAAAAATCATTAAAAATGAGATCCGACAAAAGTGTTACACGTTATTCCCGCACAGCCTTCAATTACTACGTAGCATACCTTTTTTATAAATGACTCGGAGTAACTCATATGTTTTGTTATGTTTTGCATTGTATCCATGGCCTCACTCGATGACCATGTTATAGTGCTCAAAAGCGGCATAAACAGTTTGTCTATCTTATATATTTCAAAATTAATTAATTTGTGAAAAAATACCGGACACTGTTCTCTATAAATAATACAAACGCCATCAAATAAATTTTTAATATTTATAATTCAATTAATTGCTTACCTTATATAAACTTTTAACTGGTCATATTGTTTCACTAAATTATCTGCATATCCGTATATTTGGTACATCATTGTTTTGTGCGTCATCATAGCCTGTAGTCTCTGTGGTATTTCATGACCTCTGTATAACATGGTTTGCGCATTTCCAATCGTTTCGTTTATAAATCGCGATAAAGTACAGCGATATTTTCTCGTCACTGGATCTCTTGCCAATAACGGAACGTTTTCCGATTGAATATGCTGTTAAATATCATTATTACGGTAATCAATTATAATGCAAAATAATTGGATTTATTTATATACCGTGGAAATATGAGCATTCCACTTTTCACTTAATGTCTTTTCGAAAATGTCGAGTGAGACACATAACGCTTTGTACGAATGGTAATTTCCCCATAAGTCTTGGCTCTTAGTCTATAACATATAAATCGTACATTTATTATAATTTGTTAATAAGATTCAAGCACGTAATCAAATTTTACCAAAAAAAATGATATCGACGTTTGGGCTTTTTCATACAACGTTGATATCCATATAATTTGGCCAGAAATAACGGACACATTTGAAATTAATGGTAGATTATCTCGAAAGTCTGAATACATACTTTTGTAGTCTAAAATAAACATTTTATTATCATTGTCAATTCATAAAACATTTAGAGCAAAAATCAAAAATTTTAGTTACGAGATAACAAATCGTTAAATGTACGCTTGTACATGTGATCTAGTTCAAAGTAATTCTTTTTTTCCCATTTTTTAAATAAATTAATTTTATTTAAAAAGTCTGGTGCTTGTTCAAGTGCGATACTTAGATGGTTGTTTACATCAATTTTCCATTGTACGGTTTCCTCATTAAAAATATTAATGTCTGCTTGAAATGTTGGACAATCCACCCAACTTTCTATTTTTTGTTTGTTGACATTAAATTTATTTAATAGTATTTCCAACTTTGAATTAAAGTCTTCAAATCCTATGAATGTATTTTTTTCGAGTTTGAGATTTTGATAGGTTTCAACTATATCTTTGATCTGTAAAACAAATTTATAATTAGTAAAAATATACGTGTTAATTATTAGAATAATTAACTAAATGAAAATAAAAAATGTACAAGATATAATTTACATTTGCTAGATAATAGTATATAACAATAGTCTATATAAATATAAGAATTATATTTGTCACTTTTTATCTAAGATATTAATGAGATTGTATTATTAATGTAACTTATTAATTAATTTATTAAACTATTTAAATATAAATTATAGTAATAATATTAATTTTATGTATCATTTCTAATAATTATACACATTGTGATTTAAAAAGATGATTCAAGTATTGATCCCAGATAACGGCTCGGATATCTTATTTTGCATTCGTCTTTATAAGACAAAATGTAAACATATTCCTTTCAAGATAAAACATAAAACTGTTTAGTAAGTACTCAGTTAATTTAATACCGGAATTTTTGTATCCTTCCAATTAGTGCCTGCCCCGATCTGAGTGCAACTCAGAATCGTTATCGAATCGTAACCATGTTTGTTTTAGGAGTTTTAAGAATTTTATAAAACATAACCTACCTACTTGTTGGTCCAAACCTGATACTGTTTTAAAGAAGTTAATTTCCTAAGTGCAAATCTAAAATCTACTGCTTAGTCTATTAAAAACTAAACATGGAGACTTATTCTTTGACCGAAATGTATTGAATATAGAAAGAAAAAATTAATGTTATACGGAAATCGACAATAGAATTTTGTTAAAACATTAAAATGTCATGAAAATGATAAAGACTTAAAATAACACTCTAAGAATATTTCTTTGGTCCAAAAAATTGCTTGAAGAATAGTGCATAGTAATTTATAACATTTATTATGGAATGAATCTTAATAAACAATTCATATTTTTTAATAAAATATATATTGAGTCATTTTTGTCTTTAATGTATCTATATAAATAATATTTTTATTCCTATATTAAATATGCTATATATTTAATAAGTAAAAATTGTTTTTTATTCTCCCTGTATGCCTTTACCCCACATTTTTTTAATTACGCATTTACGTAGTTAAATTTTTTTTATTATTCGCTTACTTTCTCCATTCTCTCTACAAATATGAAGAAACTTTGAAACGCACTGTTCATTAAAATTTGAAACGGGCGAAGGTCATCTGCAATAATCTTATTCGTCATTTTTGTAAAACAACTAAGTGCATGTTCCTTAAGTGCAATGCACTCTGTGAGCTTGTCGATTATTATTTGATCCGATTGAGTCCAAAATTCAACAGATTTATTTTCGGTCAAATAATTTACACAGCTTACAACCACTTGATTAAACATCGATAGCATGAGTCTCGTCATGTATCGTTTATTGAAAGAACGGAAGTAAAATGATTGGACTATAGACAAAATGTCAAAAATATTTTCAAGTGATCTTTTTACGTCGTTTATGTTTCGATAAAATCCCTCAAACATCTTTTCAAATGGTTTTAGATTCATCACACATTCTTTTATCTGCATATGCTTATTTACTACCTTTTGTTTCACCGTTTTCCACGGCTGCAACAATTAATAATTATGTTAATCAGTTATGAATTTACATAAATAAGTAAGCGTATATTAATAATAGAGTTTTTTAAAG